ATGCAGTGCCTCGTGCTCCCAACCACCTCCACCCTGGATCTCCTCCTGCCTCCGAGCAATTCCAGGTCTCCAGGAGCTCCTGATGGAGCCAGCTCTGCCTCTGCACGTGCTGAGGCTGCAGCAGCTCCTGAGTGCCCTCTCTGGGGCATTATTTAGCTGTGCCAGCCTTGTCTGCAGGCCTGGCATCACCACTGGGATCATGGAATCCTGAAATGGTTTGGATGGAAGGGACCTGAAAGATCATCTCATTCCCACCCCCTGCTATGGTTCCACCTTCCACTAGCCCAGGTTGTTCCAACCTGGCCTTGGACACCTCCAGGGATCCAGGGGCAGCCACAGCTTCTCTGGGAAATCCATCCCAGTCTCTCCCCACCCTCCCAGGGAAGAATTTCTTCCCAAACTCCCATCCAAGTCACCCTCCAGCAGCTCAGAGCCATCCCCCTTGTCCTATCACTTGATGTCCTCGTGGAAAGTCCCCTCCAGCCTTCTTTCAGGACCTCTTTAGGTTCTTGATTAGATTAATCTTTAATTCTGACACCCATCCCAGCTCTTACAGGGTTCAGGCAGGGGCTGTTCCATCAGCAGGGCTGGAATGAAGCTCCCATTTCTGTCCCTGCTGCTCAACTGCAGAGTCTGTTGCAGAAAAGAGCTTGGTTTATGACCTTAAATTGCTTGGTTTGGTGTTTTAGACCTTCCAGCAGTCCTGGAAGCATCCAAGGCCAGGCTGGAGCACCCTGTGCTGGTGGAAGGTGTCCCTGCCCATGGCAGGGGGTGGCACTGGGTGATCTTTAATGTCCCTTCCAACCCAAACCATTTTCTAGATTTGTAACATTTTCACATTTCCTTTTTCTCTCCTGAGCCCCCTCCTTCCTGCACCCCCTTCCCCCTTCCCAGCAGTGATTCCTGCTCTCCAGGAAGGTGATCACCAGCCCTTCCCTTGCCTTGGAATTTCCAGCGCCCCCCTGATGCTCTCCCAAGGAATCCTTTGCCTGGAGCAGCTCTGGGAGCAGCTGCCAGGGAATGCTCACAGAAAGGACAGTGTTAGCTCTGAAAATGTGACCTCCCCTGGGAGATCTGGGGTTGGCTCCAGCGCCTGGGCCATCAGCCAGTGACATGGAAATAGCAGAGAACATCATCATCCCACCCCTCAGCCTCCTGGGGGGGCACAGGAGAGGGAAAAGGGGGAAAAAATGAGTGGAAAGGGGAGAAAAAAACTGAACCAAAAGTGATTGTTCGGCCTGTGGATAATGTTGTTGTGTCCCCCTGCCCTGCTTGGCTAATTCTGCTTTCTCTGAACGAGGAGAGGGATAAAAAACAACATTCCTGCACCTCCTCCCCACGAGGAATTTTATTTTTCTGGCAGAAAAGGGCCCAGGGAAGCTGAGGAGGGATAAACACCGAGAGAGAGGAGCAGATGGGGTTTGATCCCAAAGCTGGGGAGCCCAGGGAGGAGTTTCCAGCCCTTCCAGCTGCACCTGGAAGGTCTGGGAGGGCAGGAGGGGAGGCCAAACTGTCCTGAATTCACCTGAACCCCCCCGGAGGGAAATTCAGCCCTGGGATAATCGGATTCCAAGGAATTCTGCAGGAATTTCTGCAGAAGAAGCTGAGGGAAGGCCCATTTAAAGCAGTGTTTTTAGAGGAATTAAATCCTGCAGGGATTTTAACCTTGACCCCTTCCCCCCAAACCCTGGCTCGGGGAGATGTCCCTGGGGGTGACACCAGCTCTGAGCTCCCTCTGAGACTTCTCTCGCTCCTGGCAGCAAAAAACTCCCCCAAAACTCCCCAGATCCTCTCAGGGCTCCAAGTGTGGCCAATTAAGGCAAAAAAAAAAAAAAGGTTGGAGAGAAAAAAAACTCCCCAGTTGATCCAATTGATTTCAGGTGGTGTTTGGGGATGGAATCAATTCCAGCTGCTCTGGGCAGTTAAATCCTCAGGGATTATGAGAGGAGTGAAGAGCTCAGGTTGGTGAATCCCACCCTGGATGTTCCCAGGTGGTCACCAAGGCAGGAATTACATGGGAAAACATCTATTTTTGATTCCTTTTTTGTTGGTTGATGAGCTTGAATGAGAGATTTTGGGATGAAAATGGGCCAATTAGTGCAAAAAAAAAAAAAAAAAAGAGGGAGGGGGACCCAGCCCCAATTGATCCAATTGATTTCAGGTGGTGGTTGGGGATGGAATGAATTCCAGGTGCTCTGTGCACTGAAATCCTCAGGGATTATGACAGGAGTGAACAGCTCAGGTTGGCAAATCTCACCCTGAATGTTCCCAGCTGGTCACCAGGGCAGGAATTATGTTGGTAAAACACCTGTTTTTGTTCTTTTTTTTGGTGTCTGCAGGGTGAGAGATTTGGGGTTGGAATAGGGGAGCTCATAGAACTTGATAAAAGATGAGTGGAGTGTTGAATGTGCAAACCTTGGGGAGGTTTTGGTTGTGGTTTTCACTCGGGTGAAGCACTTTTAGCACCATTTATCTCCTTTTTCGTGGTCCTGGATGGCAGGGAATGCACAGAGTGGGGGGTGCTGAAGGTGTTAAATTGGACCAAACTCTGAACTGAAATGGTGTTTCTGGATTCTCAGCAGGGCACGAGGTTTCTGTGTCCTAGAAAAATAGAAAATATATGGATATATATACGAAAATAGGCTTTTTTGGTCAATCTTCTGCCCTAGACCATCCCCAGTTCAGGGAGAAAGACACCACAGAGGGTTGGTACCTTCCAGTTTTTGGCCATCAGCAGTTTAAGACATTCCTGTATCCAGGAATTTTGCATCCAGGCTGCAGTTTTTAACAGCTGCTGATGGATTTACTAATTTAATAATGTATTAAATGTATTAATAATGTATTAAAGTGTCTAATCCTCTGGTGGACCCACGAAATTCCCAAAAGCTGGGCACACACCAGTGCTAATCACAGCCATCCCAGGGGCTGATAAGGCAGAGGATTCCCAATTTTCAGTCCCTGGGGATCACTCAGCCTGGTTGTGATTCCCAATCCTCAGTCCCTGGGGGTCACTCAGCCAGGCTGATGCACTGAAATTCCTCAGCAGGGGCTGGAAAAGAGGGTTGGGCCAGGAGGGAGTTATTCAGCACTGGGTGTTTAATGCCAGTTATTCCCCACTGATTAATCTCCCGAAAATCTCTTGGGAATGGGTGTTTTCCAGTGGCAGGATGTATTCAAAATCTCTGGGTTTATTTATATATGTGTTTAAATCCCTATTTCAGCCTCTTTGCCCAAGAAAAGACCTGCCTTAAATCCACTTTTCCCATTCAAACTAGTTTTTGGGGGGCTTAAAAATTCCCAATATCCCACCTAAATTTATCCTCCTCCAACTTGAAGCCATTTCCTGTGTCCTGTCCCTCCATGCCTTGTCCCCAGTCCCTCTCCAGCTCTCCTGGAGCCCCTTTAGGGCCTGCAAGGGGCTCTCAGGTCTCCCTGGAGCCTTCCCTTTTCCTGCACTGAGCTCTAGCTCTGCTCCATCCAGCAGGTTGAGGAGCCCTGTGCAAGGTTTTTTCACTGGAGGTTGCCAGTGGTCACTCTCAGCAGCACTGCTGGTATTGGTTAAATTAAAAAAATAATTAGATTTAAAAAACAAACCAAAAAAAGGAGTAAATTTAAAGGTAAAAGTGATGGTTTGTAGAAGTGTTGCAGCATTTCTTGCTTACATCAAACTCTGAGTGAGTGGCAAATTCTGTGCAAATCCAGGGAGATGCAACATCTGCTCTCCTTTCATTTCTAGTGTGAGGAATGAAACCAGATCCATGCTGTGGAAACAGGAAGAGCAGGGATTTATCCTGATTTATCCCAATTTACCAAATCCCTTCGTTATCTCAGGCTGCTTCCTCCCCAGGAGCCCTCCAAGGTGCTCCACGTGGCTCCTCAGTCCCCAACCAGCTGGGGTTGAACCAACACAAGTCAGTTTTTCACATCCTTGGGAAAAATCCAGGATAAAATTCCCTCAGCTTTGGGGTGATGTGGTGGATGAGGGTCCCTCCCAGAGGCTCTGCTGCCTCCTCTGGATGAAGGATGGACCCAAAGCCCTCACCAGGGTGCTCAGAGCCTGCAGGGGAGGATTGGCCTCAGATGGACAGGATCCACAATTTTCCTCACCCCTTTTCCTGCTGCAAATCCCAAAGTTCCTGTGGGGTGTGATGTGTTCCCCTCACTGCACTGCCTGAATGTTGATGTAGAAGTATTTGTGGGGTTTATTTGATGGGGGGGGAAAGCAGGCAAGAACAAAAGCCAAATCATCCCAGAATCCCTGGGATGCATCCAGTGAAATTCCCACCTGCTCCTGCCAAACTGAGCTGGGGGAAAGTCCTTCCCAGGACCTGGATGTGGGAGCAGGACACACAAGTTTAGGACCCAAGAGGGCCCAGCAGAACATTCCAGCAGAACATCTCAGGAGAGCAAAGCTCTGGGACAACCAAAGCGCTCCCAGAACCAGCCCTTCCCGTGGCTGCATCCCAGATTTCCCAGGGCCAGCCATTCCTGACAGGAACATCCCAGCTTCAGGAAGCAAGGTCGTGTCATTGATGGCCTCTGAGGGTTGAGGGTCACTGTTTATCAGTGAGGGGGGGAAAACACCAGCCCTGCCTCCCTGCTCCTCGTTCTTGGAGACCTCAGAGGAGGAGCAATCAAATCTCTTCTCAGGATTATGCTCCCAGTGGCTTTTCCCTGAGTTTTTTGGGATGGTGTGACCTCACAGCCCCCTTTGTGTTCTTGGCTTGAGGCAGGAATTCTATAGAGCCTGAAGGTCTCCATGGGGAGGTGGAATCTGCACTGGAATGATGATGATGATGATGATGATGATGATGATGATGGCAGGTTGAAATTCTTGGTCCAATATCATTTCCTGGGATCTTTTTTCCTCCCAGGGGAAATTGGGAGTCAGGGGGCAGGGCTGGTGAGGAAGCTGTGGGTGCAGAGGATGTTTTGCCCTCAGGCCAAGGAATTAACTGTGTGTCCTGCTGAGCTCTGACCCCTCTCTCCCCTCCCTGCAGGTGGATGCTGACGATGTCATCACCAAGGAGGAGCAGATCTTCCTCCTGCTGAAAGCCAAGGCCAAGTGTGAGCGACACCTGAAAGCCAAGGTGCCCAAGGTGCACGGTGAGTGTTCCCAGAGCATCCCAGAATTCCATGGCTGGGCCCCTCTGTGCCCATTCCAGCCCTTCCCACAGCCCCATGTTGAGCTCAGCAGATGAAGAACCCCAAAATATTGGGTTTCCAGGCTGGGATGGGGGAAGATCCTTCAGCATAAGGTGCTGGGAAGCAAAGCTGTCACAGACTTGTTCTTCTGCAACAGAATTCCAAATGCCAAAGGGTCAGGAGGGTGCAAAAGTCGTGGGATTGTACCCAAAGCCCAAGCAATGCATGGGAGGGAAGAGCAGCCACGAGCTCTGCCAAGATTGGGGAATCCTGGAGTGGTTTGGGTGGGAAGGGACCTTGAGGATCATCCAGTCCCACCCTCTGCCATGGTCAGGGACACCTTCCACTGTCCCAGGTTGCTCCATCCTGGCCTGGGACACTTCCAGGGATCCAGGGGCATCCACAGCTTCTCTGGGAAATCCATTCCAGCCACTCCCCACCCTCCCAGACAACAATTCCTTCCCAATATCCCATCTAAATTTATCTTCTCTCAGTTCAAGCCATTCCCTGTGTGCTGTCCCTCCATGCCTTGTCCCCAGTCCCTCTCCAGCTCTCCTGGAGCCCCTTTAGGCCCTGCAAGGGGCTCTCAGGTCTCCCTGGATCCTTCTCTTCTCCAGGGGAACCCCCCCAGCTGTCCCAGCCTGGCTCCAGAGCAGAGGGGCTCCAGCCCTGGGAACATCTCCATGGCCCCTCTGGACTCGGTCACTACTCCAGACTCCAAAGATCCTTCACAAGGAGCCCCCAGGGGAACAGAAAAGCCTCCCTCCAACAGCCCCTCTCCATTTCCCTCTGCCAAACTCTGTCCTGTTCCCCTCAGAAGGACCCAAGCCTCTGTTTCCTGAGAAAGGGGGACAAACCAGAATCCCCCAAATCCAGCCCTGACGCTGGAGCAGAGTTCCCTGCCCAGCCTGGTGTCCCTCTGAGGTCGGACACGACAGCAAAGGGGCCCCAAAAGCCCCAGCTTCCACTGGATTCCATTCCTGCTTCCCAGCAGCCAAAAACCTCAAGCCACATCCTCCTCCGCTGCTTTGTCCCGTTCAGCCGCTGCCCAATTAACACCTCATTAAAGGCGCGCACGCAGAGGCATCTCCTGCTGCTGTCCCCGGCCCACCTGCCCATCCTGGGGGCTGGGGACATCGGGGGACACCAGCTGCTCCAACTCCTCCCTGCACTTAGTACTGAGCCCTCCTGAATTGCCAGGGGAGGGATGGGGAGTTAGACGTGACTGACGAGCAGATTTGGGGCTCTTTCCCAGGGAGAGCAAAGGATTCAGTGGCAGGGGTTTGATTAAACCTCGGGCTCAGGGTCCATCCTCTGCACCAAATCCCTGCCCAGCCCCAAAGTGGCCATCCCAGAGGAGCAATCACCCTGATGTCATCACCCTCAGCAGGAAGATGATGGCATAAAGACTTAAAGTAGGTAATTAAGATCAAATTAATCTGCAGGATCCCAGGGCAGACTGGTTTCTGATTGAACCTTCCCCAAGGAATCCTCCCTTAGGCTGGAACACCTCAGAAATTCCTGCTGCCGCTTCCCAGCCAAGGCAGGGAGTTGCCAGACGTTCTCTGGGATGGTCTCAGGAGTTTGTGGGCACAGCAGAGGGATTTTTGGTTTGGAAAAGTTCTTCCCACCTTGCAGAGGAGCCGCCATTCCCAGATTTTTAGGTTACAGGTGCCCCTGGGCACGAGCACAGTGGTTGGTCCAGTCCTTTCCTCCTTGGACAATGCAGAAACTGGGGCCTGGTGTCTGTTCTGCTGATCACCCAAGCACAGGTGGGGCTGTCAGATGGAGGAGCTCATCCCTTTCCCTCTTCCCTCACTCCAGACCCCAAGAAAAAAAAAGCCTGGGAAGGGCAACATCATCTTCACACTGGAGATACTGGGGGCAGAGGGGTTGTGACCTGCAGCAATGTCAGTCCTGGGGGTGGTTTCCAGTTGTCCCCTGGGCCCAGATCTCTGCTTGGTTTGTCATTCCAAGGAAGGAAAAAGGCACAATGAGGCAGCAGCAGCTTTGGGGAGGTCCTGAGGGCAGCACTTCCCGCAGCCACCCAAGGGTGAGGCTCTCCAGCCCTCTCTGCACAGTTGTGGTGAGGGGGAAGCTCCACGCTCAGCTGTGTTGAAGGAATCTGCCTGGAGAGCCAATATCCTTCTGGGACCCTCATATCCCACATCCTGGAGCAACCCTGATGGAGGGACAGCCCTGCAGACAGGAAAGGCCAGTGAGGAAATCCCAGTGCTGGGAAAGGAGAAAGTCCCTGCTTAAAATCCCTGACCCGGGTCAGCAAGGAGTGGCTTTGGGAGCCACGTCCCTGCAGGGAAACTCTGAACCACAAGGGTCACAGGAAAAGAGCCTTTGACCCCACAGCTGGTTTGGAGCTGCTTTGCACCAGATATTGGAGCAAACTCTGCAGCAAGTAGAGCACTTTCACATCCTCGCTCTGGGGTTTTGTCCTGTGCCCCTGAACCTTCAGTGCTCCAGCTTGTGGGTGGAGTGAGAAGAGGAATTTGGGAGGTGAACCCATGGCTCTGGGCACCAGGGATGCTCCCTAGGCCATGAGGAGTTGGAGGGGGGTGCCCTTGTGCAGACAGATCTGGTTCTCCAAGGAGCCTTCTGGGGACCTCTTCCTGCGAACCTGCTCCCACCAACGCTCCAGGCTCCCGGAACCACAGGATCACTGAGGCTGGAAAAGCCCTCCCAGCCCACCCAGTCCACCCTGTGTCCCACCCCCACCTTGTCCCCCAGTGCCATGTCCAGTCATTCCCTGGACAGCTCCAGGGATGTGACTCCACCACCACAAACCCTCCCAGAGCCCAGTTCTGTTGTCAGCAACCCCTTTGCTCTTTTGGATCCCCTTTAACACCCGAGGCTTAGCAGAGTGGATTGAGCTGAGGAAGAGCCTTTTTGGAGGAGCTTTGTTTTCCAGCTGGATCAGCTCCCTGATCTGCTTTGTCCTGTCCAGCCACAGAACCCAAGGGAGACACCCCAGGAAAGGAGCAGGGCCAGGAAGGGAAGGTGTTGGTGCCACGTCAAGCGGTACCTGCTGAGCTCTGGAAAATCCCAGCTGATTCATCCCACTCATTGCCTTCTCTCCTTGCTCCCACTCCACATCAGGGGCTGTCTGTGCCCACTTAGTGCTTAATCCTGCCCTTGACCCAGAAATTCCCACCAGGAATGGGTCCTGCCTCTGCCTGGCTGTGGCTGCAGCTGCAGTGCAGTGATTTATCCACTCCATATCCCAGCTGGATGGTTTTGGAAGCAGAGGGGGGATTTGGGACACCTCAATATCAGGCCATTGATTTGTCAGGGATTCATGGATTTCTCCAACTTCCTTCTCTCTTTAATGTTCATTTCACTGACATTTTAACAGGGGGAAAATGCAGATTTCAGAGCTATCCAGGAGTCCTTAGGGGATGAGAGGAAGCCTGGATCAGCACCTTGATTTTTGGAATCTGCTGTTCCCTCTCTCCCCTTGCAGCTCCATCCCGGATGGATTTACTGGGCAATCCCAGGATGTAAATGGATTAATAAAAGTGAGGAAGATGCACTGTGGGAGGGACTGTGAGATCAGAACCAAGAGGAAAGAAATGAGATTTTTTTTTTTTTTTTGAGGAGAGGGATTCTGTGTGTCATCCTTCCAGCACAGACCTGGATTTGGGAGGGGGACACCCCCCCAAAAATGGCTCTTGGAGTGGGAAATGTGATCCCACGTGTGCATCCATGAGCTCTTCCCAGCACCTTGAGTCACACTCCACCCCCCTCTGGAAGCAGGAAGGCCTTGATCTCCTGATCTTCCCCTTGGAATTGTCCTTTTCCCTCTGCTCACGTTTCCTTTCTCCTTTCCAGGTGGCTGGTGGGGGGTTTTGATCTTGGTTTTGTTCTTCTCCCTCCCGAGTTTGGCCCCCCCAGCCCCACCCTTGGGGCCAAAGGGAAAATGAGAAATGGCCCTCAAATTGGAACTGGATAGTGGGGACAAAAGGGAAGAGAGAGCAGAGGGAGGGGATCGATGGAAGGAGAATTCCAGAGGTTGGAAGGGACGTTCAGTGGCTTTCTGGGGTTTAATTTCCATTGGAAACGTCCTGGAGTACCCACAGTATTCAAATGTTTGCTACCCCAGAGCAGCAATGTCTTGTTCAGGGGAGGGAAATCAGCTGTGATTTCATCACCTAATTGAATTTATTGATCTAATTGAATTTATTGATCTAATTGAATTAGACGTGTCTAAGGCTGGGTTTAAGTCTTGAATCAGGGAGTAAAGAACACGAGGGGGAACAGTAGATTGTGCTGAGAATTTCTGGGTAGTGGGAACTTGGCAGGGTTCAGAGTACAAAGGAAAGTTCCCAGCAAAGGAAAAGGTTAAAAAAAATATATAAAAATCATAAAATCCAAAATTTTTTCAGCAATAATGACCCACTTTTTGTGTGTAAAAACCCCAAATTCCCTTTTTTTTCTTTTTTTCCCCTCTCTAAAAGTGTGAATTTGTAGCTTTATGGCAGTTCAGTGGAGGTTGTGCTTCCTCTTCTCCCTCTGGGATGGATTTTGGGACACTTCTTTGTCCCCAGGAGTGTCCCAGCCATGGATTCTGATCCCTGGGGTGACAAGGACAGCCCCCCACGGAGCTGAGCCCGTCCAACGAGCTCCCACCCGGGATTTGGGCGTCATCTGCCACCTCTGGCCGAGGCTCTGAGGGCTGGAGACCCCAAAATAACCAAACAACAACAAAAAACACAACACCCCCTCCAACAGCATTTGCTTTCCTTCTTTTCTCTACCCCCTTTTTTTTTTTTTTCCCTTAAATTTAGCCTCCAGATTCAAGGCTTTTGGAAAGCACAGGAAACCCTCAAATGCCTCCTCTCTGTAGGCAAATATTACATTTCAGCCAGGGTGTGGGCAGAGCTGATGCCACCCCAAAGCTGCAGCTGGAAGGGGATGAAGTGAAAGTCCCAGCCCTAAACCAGCAAGACCTGAGGGGTGGGGGGAGCTTGGGTTTGTTTTGTTGGGTTTTTTTATATACCTATGAATTAAAAGCTTGTCTCTCCCTGGTTTGGAAAAGGAGATGGGACATTTTGTGGGGGAAGAGAGAGGGATTTATTTTTTATTTTTTTTACACAGGCCCAGTCCTCGCTCTGAGCAGGAGGTGTTGCAGTTTTTGCCTCAGACTGGCTTGGGGTTTCTCATAAATGAGCTTATTTGCGAGGGAAAGGTGTTATTTTCAGGTGGGGATTTGTGTGTGTTTACCCAAAAATGAGCATCTCAGTTTGGCTCCATTGTCCCTAAAGGACCTAGAGCCAGTCCCAGGCTCTCCCTGGGCTGGCAGAACCCCATCATCTGCTCCTGCTTTTCTCTCCAGAGGTTCTGTGTCCACCCCCTGATCATCCAGCATCTCCTCAGAGGTTGAGAAGCCTCAGGTGCCTTGGGAATTTAGGGAGGCAAAGCATCCAGTGGACTCAGGATTGTCCCAAACACCCCAGACCTCCATAGACCCAGATTTGGGATTGTCCTGAACAGCCCAAACCCCTACAAACCCAGATTTGGGATTGTCCTGAACACCCCAGACCTCCATAGACCCAGATTTGGGATTGTCTCAAACACCCCAGACCTCCCTAAACCCAGATTTAGGACTACCCTGAACAGCCCAAACCCCTACAAACCCAGATTTGGGATTGTCCTGAACACCCCAGACCTCCCTAAACCCAGATTTGGGATTGTCCTGAACACCCCAGACCTCCATAAACCCAGATTTGGGATTGTCCTGAACACCCCAGACCTCCCTAAACCCAGATTTAGGACTGCCCTGAACAGGTGACTTCGTGTCCTGAACGTTCCCACCTGCATCCAAACAGCACATTTTAACCCTCCAGCTATTTCTCACACCCCCCTCCCCCCCCAAAAAAATCTAATTTCAACAGCTTTTCAATAGCAATTTATAATTAATTGGATCCTTTCTGGCTATTTGGGCTTCAAATATTGTTTCTGGGGTCTCAGGAGGGACTGGTTTGTTTTTAACGTGCCAAAAATGCTCTGCTTGCAGGTGGTGGATGGTTTTATTTTTTTCCCCTCCCTGTGACAACTTATTAAAAAAAGCTTGTAAAAATTGATTTTATTTTAAAGTGGAGCCATCAGGGGGAAAATGTTGGCTTGGGGCTAATTTTAGGATTTTTCTGAAACTGTTCAGATTTCTTCTTGTGATTCAGTGTGGATCCCTTTGCAGAAATGACTGGGAGAAAAGGGAAACAGCAGAGAGAAGCCAGGTTGTTAATGCCGTTAATATTTTTATAAACTAAGGGGGTGAAAAAAAAAAAAAAAGTTTGGAGGAAATACTTGGGCAAACAAACAAACAAACAAAAAGAAATGTCTTGTTTGGATTCCAGCTCCTGGATTGAGCAGGAATAACTGCAGCCCCTCCTCCCAACCCAAATCCTGTCCCCATGGAGCCCTGGATTGAGCAGGAAGGAGGTGATGGCTCAGGTGTCTTTTCCCTCCTCCAAATTTGGCTGAAATTTGGGAGGTTTTCCAAGGCAGGAACGGGGAGAGGGAGGCAGGGGGTGATGGGGAGATGGGGAGGAGGTTTCTCTGTGTTCTGACAGTTCCTGATGGTGACAAACTCCTCTCTTGGGAGCCTCAGGGACTTCCTGAAGGTTGAATTCCACCAGATCCTGGTTGGCTTTAATGAATCAACTCCATGGACCATCCAGAGGCCCCAGGAATATTTCAGATGGTGTGAGAGGCAGCAAAGATCGTTTTATTTTTAACATTTCTAGTGCTTCCCAAATCATCCCCACTCCAGAGGAGTCCCACCACGGTTTGCACCCTGTTTGCCACTCAGAGCCTTCAACCCTCGGCTTTTGGAGGGGATTTGGGGGCTCAAAGTGCCCCAAAATAAATCATTTCATATTCAGTTCTTCCCAAGGCCTCAGTTTTCTGTGTTTCCAGCACGAGGAGGACACAACCCCCCAGATAATTCCCCCCCATCCACCCAAATATTTCAGTCTGATCCCAAAAGAAACCACTCACAAGTGAAAACTGAGCTCTGCAAGTTTTGTTCTGAAGAATTTGGAGGGTTTTTTTCTCTCAGCCTTTCAGAGCACAACATTGGGACCAATATTTCTTCCCCTCAGTGCTCGTTTCAAAGCTGCCCCCGATTTATTTATTTTGTCCAAAAGAATCGGGTTTATTTTCAGCGAAGACCACACCGAGGCCTAAATTAAATCTTTGTTTACTTTCTTGTCTGCAAAAAAAGACCTCAAAAACAATAACATTTCCTCCTAAACCAAATTTCGTGGAGCATTGTGGGTTTATTTGTTTGTTTGAGTTGTTTGGGGTTTTTTTCCCCCTCCTTTTTCTTTTGAACCTTCCAAAGAACTGCAAAATAAATAAACTGCTTTGCGCGCTCTAAGTCATCCTGCAACATAATGAGCCAAAGGGAAGGGCTTTCCCACTTGTCATGGGTAGGAAATGGAATATTATTCTTCTCCCACTGCAACTGAGAGCAGGGAAAATGCAGGAAATTTCTGTTCCTCTTTTATCTCCGGGGTGCTGAGGAATTTTAGGTCCTCTCCCCTCGCTCCCAGTTGGTGCTTTAGAAGGAGGGCAGGGATTAACCTGCTCCTTTCCACCCACATTCGTTCAAAGATAAGAAATCAGCTGTTTGCCCACGAGTTTTCCCGTGGTTTTCCACGTCCTAAATTCCCAGCAAGGGGAATCATCAGCGGCAGCTCCGAGCCTGGAGGGCTCCAAAGTGGCAAAGCAATCCTGGGTCGTTCTTTAACCCTGGGAAAGCACATTCCTGCTGCAGGATGAGCTGCTGTTGGGCTGGAAGGTGGGGAGAGCTTTGATGTTAATGGAACCTGCTGAGATCTTGGCCCTGCTTCTGATTTTGTTCCTGTGGAGAAGAGCAGGCAGGGCTGGTTTGTTTGGATTCCCAGGGAGCTCCCCTGTGCCAGACACTGCTGCTAAACCCTCCAAGAACTCAGCACAGAGGGAAGATGCTTCTATGGAAGCATCCAGAGTTGGGGCAGATGCCCCAGTGTGAGCATTTTAATTCACAGCCCCAAGTGCAGGTGGATTGGAAGTGGTGGGTGCAGGTCAGGAGGGCCAAAGCAAAGGAGGTCACTGAGGACACAAAGCTGCAGGAGCTGAGGGTTGTGCAGCCCTTCAGAAGGACCTCAAAAAGTTCCTCCAAGCCCCATCCAACCTGGCCTTGGACACTTCCAGGGATCCAGGGGCTCTCAGGTCTCCCTGGCTCCTTCTCTTCTCCAGGGGAACCCCCCCAGCTGTCCCAGCCTGGCTCCAGAGCAGAGGGGCTCCAGCCCTGGCAGCAGCTCCGGGGCCTCCTCTGGACTCTCTGCAGCAGCTCCACGTCCTCCTGCTGCTGTTCCCAGGGCTGGATGTCGTGTGTCCTTCCAAAATAAAACCTGGAAGAACCTGCACCCTCTGGAGCCAAACACTAAGAAGAAAATGGCAGTGATTTCTCAATGATTTCTCAGTGATTTCTCAGTGATTTCTCAGTGATTTCTCTGTGATTTCTCAGTTATTTCTCTATGATTTCTCAGTAATTTCTCTGTGATTTCTGAGTGATTTCTCAGTGGTTTCTCAAACCAAGCGGCAGCACCGAGAGCTTTTCCCAGAGAGCCTCCTCCAAACAGTGGGGCATCCATGTCACCCCTGCAGGGTGCAGTGACTCCTCTTTGTCTTTGTTCTCTCCCCCAGATGGTTTTTGTCTCCCCGAGTGGGATGGCATCGTCTGCTGGCCCGAAGGGGTCCCGGGCAAGGTGGTGGCCATGCCGTGCCCCGAGTACATCTACGACTTCAACCACAAAGGTGGGTGGCATTCACAGCCCTCAAAATCACCCTCAGCATCCCTTCCTCATCACACACTGACTCCCTTCCAAGCAGGAGCAAAGCCAGGGGAAAGGAAGGGAAGGTTTTTATTTGTTTCTGCTGAAAGCAAAGCTCGGTTTTGATTGAAACAAGAGACAGATTTCCCCCATTTCCCACACAGCCTGTCACCCTCTAAACACTAAGGAATAGTGCTTAGCTATTAATAATAGTTTTAGGTATCCAAATTAGGTTTATATGTTTATTTGGGTCATATATATTATTATTACTTCACTATAATATACTGGTTTAGGTATTAATAATTGATAACAACACAATAAACACAGCCTTCAAATTAAGTCCCAGGATCCCAGAATATGCACAAGGAGCACCAAGTCCAACTCTTACCTTGGGTTTTCTCTTGCTACACAAGAGTTTGTGGCATCAAACGAATCCAGGCTTGTAAATCCACAAAACTTGAACTCTGAGGCCACTTCGAGCCTGATGGAGATCAAGTATTTGATTTTTTGATTTTGATTTTTTGATTTGATTGATTTGGATTTTTTTTTTATTTGATTCTGATTTTTTATTTGATTGCCAAGCCTGGATTTGTTTGACACCCCGATACTCTGCACGGCAAGAGGAACCCCAAGATATTCTTCCCATTTATATTCCTTGTTAAGCCCAGTCCCTGCTCCCTGCCCAGAGCCCTCTCTGGGTGTGTTCCCCACCACTGACCATGTCCCCAAGTGCCACATCCACAGGGCTTGGAGATCCCTCCAGGGGTGGGGACTCCCCCCCTGCCCTGGGCAGCTGTGCCAGGGCTGGGCAGCCCTTTCCAGGATTAAATTTTTCCTCACATCCAATCTAATCCTTCCCTAGTGCAATCCATCCCTTTTTTTCCTCAATGTTCCAACGTGGCATGGATTCCTCACCTCACTGAGGTCCACTGGCCCAGCTGAGGTGGTGTGGGAGTCACATAAAGAGCCTCAGATGATGGAAACAAAGAACCCCAGCATGGTTTGGGTGGGAAGGGACCTTAAGGATCATCCAGTGCCACCCCTGCCATGGGCAGGGACACCTTCCACTGTCCCAGGTTGCTCCAACCTGGTCTTGGACACTTCCAGGGATCCAGGGGCAGCCACAGCTTCTCTGGGCAACCTGTGCCAGGGCCTGCCCACCCTCCCAGCCAGCAATTCCTTCCCAGTATCCAATCTAAACCTACTCCCTGTCAGTTTGAAGCCATTCCCAGTTTTCTTGTCCCTCCATCCCTTGTAAAAGTCCCTCTCCATCTTCCTGGAGGGCTCCCAACAGCTCTCCCTTTGTAATCCCAGGACAGACAGTTCTGTTGAGCGGTTTCATCCCTGTTTTCTGTGAGGGGATTTTAACTCACAGCTGATGCCCTGATACCCACACAGACCTCTGAACATGGATATTCCCACCTGCCAGCTGCATCCAAGGAGGAAACCTTGCTCCTTCTTCTTCCTCCACCACCACGAGGAGAGCAAGCAGAGAAAAACGTCCCTCGGGATGACCTGAGCCTGTAAAGGAAGAGCAGCACAAACAAATCACCTTTTTATTTCCTGCAGTTAATTCTGAGGAGGATTCTGTGCTCTGGGGCCTTTCAGATCTTCTCCCCTTGATTTTTAGACCCACCATCTGACCCTAAACCGAGTGCAGCCGATTGAGATGCTCCGTGGAGTTTCTCAGCCGGGAGGTCGACGAGGTTTTCTGCAGAGATGGAAAATGGTTCTTGCAGCTGAGCTCCCGAGTGGGCAGGACCCGGCAGGGGCGGTGGGATCCACCCCTGGAATGTTGTTCTCCTGTTTTCCCCAGTTTTCCCACTGAGCCTGTGTCCTCTCTCTCTCCACAGGCCATGCTTACCGGCGCTGTGACCTGAACGGGAGCTGGGAGCTCGTGCCGGGCAACAACAGGACCTGGGCCAACTACAGCGAGTGTGCCAAGTTCCTCACCAACGAGACGAGGGAGAGGGTAGGCAGTTCCCTTTGTGCATGGAATGTCATGGGAATTCTGGCCTCCTCCAGGCCTAACCCAAGGGGCAACTGGCTCCTTTCAAACCCTCGAGGAGCTCCAGCTCATCCTCCTCCTCCTCTTGGAGGACATGACTTTGATCCCGGGTTGTTGTCAAAAATTCCAGTGTTTGTGTGGTTGGCTGTGGTGGGGGATGTCCAAACACAGAGCTAAGGGGTGTGTCAGTCAAACCAGAGGCAAACCAGTCAAACCCAGGCTGGGAGAGCTGGGGGGGTTCCCCTGGAGAAGAGAAGGATCCAGGGAGACCTGAGAGCCCCTCCCAGGGCCTAAAGGGGCTCCAGGAGAGCTGGAGAGGGATTGGGGACAAGGCATGGAGGGACAGGACACAGGGAATGGCTTGAACTGAAAGAGAATAAATTTAGATGGGATGTTGGGAAGGAATTGCTGTCTGGGAGGGTGGGGAAGGACTGGAATGGATTTCCCAGAGAAGCTGTGGCTGCCCCTGGATCCCTGGAAGTGTCCAAGGTCAGGTTGGAGCAACGTGGGATAGTGGAAGGTGTCCCTGCCCACAGCAGGGGGTGGGACTGGGTGATCAGTGAAGTCCCTTCCTCAATCCCAAACCAGCCTGAATTCCATGATCTTGAATTAATAGTGGTGTAGGCACAGTTTTGAGACAGGACCATCAGTCCAAAGGCGAAAAGGGACTAAAAGTCCATGGAGAGGGTTTGATGTGCTCCTGAGAAAAAAAAAATAGGAAGAAAGAAAGAACTCTGGGCCTTGTTTTTACACAAATTCAGGTAACTGGCCAAGTAGGAGCTGGAGAAAATTTCCTACCTCTCTGTAGTGCTGAAAATCTGTGAAGCCAAGCCCGTCCCAGAGGAGCCACCTGAGAGGACGTGACCTCCTGGTGTCACAGGGAGCGACATTCCCACCCACACTCCCTCCTGGGATTAGCCAGGAATCCAACCCAAACCTCTGGCTCTCCGGTGGCACTTGGAAATTGTCCCCTTGGACGTGGGGAGTGAGGATCTGCAGCCCTTTGCAGACAGCTGGAGATAAAGATCTGCCCACGAGCTGTGGGGAGCGGGACGGGAGATGATGATGCACAGGCCCGTGGGGAGGATGTTCTTCATTTGAAACCCAACCACAGCGTGCTTGGAGTCGGGTTTTTGGTCGGTTTTTTTCCCCTCCAGAGTGAAGCAACACATGAATGAAACTTTTCAGGGAGGAAATAAGTTATTTGAGGACCTGCACGTCTTTGTGTCATGTGCTCAAAGAACAGGCAAGGTTTTACACGCCGGGTTCTGCTCCTGCTGCTGAACAGCAAAGTCTCAGGGTTGGATGATGTTCACTTGTAGAACAAGTTTGGGCTCATCTTTTCCCAGTTCATCCAGTGGAAAGAACTGGTTTAGCCCCTGGGAAGGTTTTGGAGTAGGTGTTGGAGTCACTGAGTGTCTTGATCACAGTGAGAACTTCACTAAGTTGTACAACTTCTTGACCTCTCTGAGGTCATTGTCTCTGTCCCACCTCTCTCAGCCATGCCCTGAGGTTGGGACTCACCTGCTGCAGACAGGAGGAACACCATGAATGAGTCAGGAGAGGTTCAGGTTGGATCTCAGGGAAAGGTTCTTCCCCCAGAGGGTGGTGGGCACTGAACAGGCTGCCCAGGGCAGTGGGCACAGCCCCAAGGCTGCCAGAGCTGCAGGAGGGTTTGGATGATCCTCTGAGGGACAGGGGGGGATTGTTGGGGTGTCTGTGCAGGGCCAGGAGTTGGGCTGGATGATCCCTGGGGTCCCTTCCAGCTCAGGGTATTCTGGGATCCTGTGACCTCTCCAGCTGAGCCAGTGTCCAAGATTTCCCCCAGGGAAAGGCCATCCTGTCTTTTTAAGCTCCCACACTGGTAACTGGGACTTGTCAAGGTGACTTGGTAGGGGAAGGGTGGAAAGAAGAAGAGAGGTAAACATCTGTTACCAGCACAGGGGGAAAAATAGAGACCTTCCACCCCCAGGCTGGTAAAAGAGGCTGAAAGCAAGGTCTCTTCTCCTGGGTTTGAGGTGCTGACTCTGTGTCCCCTGAGGTGCTCACAGCACACAGGACCTGGACTGTACTTCCTGACAAAGGGAGTCCAGATAAGGTGTCACAGCCCAGGAGACTTCATTTTACCTCCCAACCTCTTACTTGGAAAATTCCTGCTCCTTGTGACCTCTTCCTTTAGGAGCTGTTTTAATAAACCACCCCCGAATCATCCTCCTCGTTGTTCATCTTCTACCATGAAGATGCAGTGGGATTTTACCATCCCAAAGTCACCATCATCCTCAGCATTCATCTGTTGCCACGAATTTCCTGGTTTAGCCTCACAGAGGTGAACAGAGTGCTGTTTAATGGTCAGACAAATTAGAGCATCACCACTGCTCAGATCAGCTGGGCAGGAGATGGTTAGTGGTGCTTCCCCAGTGCGAAGAACACTGGAAAAAATGGAGGTTTCCCTCAGCTTTGGGACGAAAAAATGCTTTTCAACAACAACACGTTGTTATTATTATTATTATTATTATTATTATTATTATTTTCATTATTAACCTTGTATTTGCAAGGTCTCCCTGCGAGCAGCCCCGCCCTCTCCTCTGTGTGTTGTCACAGAGCGTGTTATCAGCGAGGTGCCTGAACTTTAGTGACAAGTGACACCACAAATACGCAGCCACTGCAGGTCTCTTGGGCCCTTCTGGGCTGAAAAACACTCTGCAAGTAAAAAAGATAAAAGAAATAATGACCTTTTTTTTCTCAGTTGGGTGATGATTTTCCTCACAGAGAGCACGGAGGGGCTCCTGCCTCTCACACCCAGAGCGCTGGCATTAATAAACCTTCCTTTGATTTTGTTTTTTTCCCCTCCCTTTTTTTTTTTTTTTTTCCTTGAAGTAAATATGTCAGGAGATGTCAGAATGGGGGAATTTGGTTAAGGCAGACCCGTCATCTTGAGGGAGAGGGTTTGTTTTCTATTATTATTTCCCTCCCTGGGGAACAACATCTTTGCGTCACCGGCAACAGCTGCGTTCGACCAACGTTTGGAAAGCACATGGTGGGCTGGCTCCGAGGAGAGCAGCACCACAGCAGATGCAAGCAGGGGAAATGTTAAGGGATTGTGCATTTAGAAGGAATCAGGGGTGGAAAAAAAAAAAAAGAATCTGTCTGTGACTATAAATATAGAGATTTGCTGCCATCCCTAGAAATGGGGCTGTGACTGTAGAGAGAGAGGTACGGATACAGCCCGTAATGAACACCCCCAGATGTTTGGGTGGCTGTGGATTTTCTCCTTTCAGCCACTGGGGGATGATTGTCAGACTGATCAAAACAGGGGACCCGGGGCAGGGTCGTGCCCTGCAGGGGATGAGCAGGGGGCTTTCAGCCAGAGCAGCAGAGGAACCACCCCCTGGAATGAGCAGAGGGTGTTAAAGCCCTCAGAGCCCGAGAATCGACAGCCTGGAGAACAACTGCTCCTGGGCTGAGTGCTGAGGGAAAACCAGCCCTGCTGGAGGACTCTGGGTTCACAGCCCTGGAGATTGGAGGCCTCCTGTAGCCTGCAGTGAGCCAGGGAAGTGTCTCCTCAAACACCTTCCAGAGGGAATTAAATGTGGAGGCACCAACCGTCTGGAGGTGTCCAACACCAGCTTGGACGGGGCTTGGAGCAACCTGGGACAGTGGGAGGTGTCCCTGCCCATGGCAGGGGGTGGGACAGGATGATCTTTGAGGTCCCTTCCAACCCAAACCATCCTGGGATTCTGTGATCTCCTGGGACACCTTCCACTGTCCCAGGGTGCTCCAACCTGGCCTTGGACACTCCCAGGGATCCAGGGGCAGCCACAGCTTCTCTGGGCAATCCATTCCAGTCCCTCCCCACCCTCCCAGCCAGGAATTCCTTCCCAACATCCCATCTCTCCCTGCCCTCTGGCAGTGGGAAGCCATTCCCTGTGTCCTGTCCCTCCATGCCTTGTCCCCAGTCCCTCTCCAGCTCTCCTGGAGCCCCTTTAGGCCCTGCAAGGGGCTCTCAGGTCTCCCTGGAGCCTTCTCTTCTCCAGGGGAACCCCCCCAGCTCTCCCAGCCTGTGTCCAGAGCTCCATCCAGCCCTTGGAGCATCTGCATGGCCTCCTCCAGATTCACTTAAGCAGCTCCACATCATATTTGTTCCATATTTATTCTGTTCTCACACTCTTCCCTAATCATCTCTTCCTGGATGTGCAGGAGTTTGAAAGACCCTTGGCCTGGCCCAGGTTGGCTGTTCTCCTTCCTTTCTTTCCTGGATTCCCTTAAAAGCAGGAGTGAGGGTGTCTTGTATCCTTGGAGCTCCTCAACCTTTAGATAAAGTGTGGCCCAGATGAGAAGTGATGAACCTCTGGCAGCTCTTTGGGCCATTTTCCTCCAAAAATCTTAATAGCACTTTTTGACTCTGGCCCCCTTCCCTTCCACCCATCCAGCCAAAGCAGCATCTCCAGGATGACCAGGGAAATGGTCACCTTTTCAGGCACTGTCTAAATGTCTGAGTCTAAACTGGGGTGTCTTATCTGAGCTCCTCATCCAGACTGGGAGGATTTAAGTGCCTGGCACCTCTAGGGGTGAAGGGGAGAGAATCCTGCAGCCAAAATTCCTGTCCAACCCGCAGTGTTTTCCCCGAGGCTTTTTGGAAATCGGTGGCTGTTTTGTGCCTTTTGTGCACATCCCATTAAGTTTTTTATTTAGTCACAACTTTGCTGTAAAAAAAAAGGCAAGAGAAGCAAACTCAGTGGATTTCTGGCTTTGTTTATCGCTCCAAGCAGCAAAACCCTTCCCCTGCTGGTTCCAAATGTGCCATCAGCAACATCTGAATCAGCAGCTTGGAAAAACTTGGGAGATACTTCATCAGATTTGGAATAGGCTTTGCCACCAGACTTGCAGAAAATTCGTGTCTCAGTCCCTGCCTGGGGCACTGGGAGGGACCAGGACACCAAAACCCTGGAGGTTTCATCCAGCTGCTGAAACAGAGATGGTGTTCAGGCCTGGAATCAGATGAGATGTCCTCAGGATTGGGAGACAACTCCATGGGAATTGCAGATACAATTCCTGGGACCTTCAGGAAGGACTCATCCCCTCGTCAAAGCAGCTCAAAGCCAAGCAGGACACCTGGGGGGACTAAAATGACCTGAGGCACGTGGAGGGACAGCAGGGAACAAGGGACAGGAGGAGAGGGAACGGCCTCAAGAGCTTCTGGTTGGATACTGGGAACATTTCTTCCTGGAAGGGGCTGTCCAGCCCCAGCACAGGTGGAGTCCCCATCCCTGGGGGCATTTCAAAGCCCTGGGCATGTGGTACTTGGGGACATGGGGCAGTGATGGCCTTGGCAGTCAATGGTTGGACTCAGAGGGCTTTTCCAGCCTCAGTTCTATCATTCCATGGATGGATGGGGTGGGCAAAGGGGGATATTCGAGGCTACTGAAGCTGATGTTCCCTAATCTGGGTGCTCTGATATGGGCTTTAGAATATTTATAATATTTTACTGACAATCCCAACCCCTGGAATCCCAGACGTTGAAGTTTTGTCCTTCTGGTTTTCCATTAGTTTATTTTCAGCTTTTTCTATTTTCCAGAGCTCTTGTGTCCTCAGCTGAAAAAGTGAAGGAAGCAAATTCATAGAATCATGGATTCCTGGGTTGATTTGGGTTGGGAAAGACCTTAAAGCTCATCTCATTCCAACCCCCTACCATGGGCAGGGACACCTTCCACTAGAGCAGGTTGCTCCAAGCCTTGAACACTTCAATTAAATGATAAATTAAATTAAATTACAGGGCTTAAAGCATCACACTTCCCAAACCAGGGTCTAAAGGTGTGGCAAGGCCAGAGTTTTACCCCTTCCAACAGGTCAGTGGATGAGCAGTGATGGTCAGTGTGTCCTCAGGGTGGATTTCTAGGAGGCATCAGAGCTCCTCCTGGTCTCAGAAGCACTGAACTTGAGACTGGGGAGCTCCAGGTTGTGACCATGGCTTGGCCATCACGACCTTTGTGACCTTCTGGGAATGATTCCAACTCCTGTCCCTCTCAGCTCCCAGCAGAGGGATCTCAGCCCCCCGGAGGTGGTTGTTGCAGCTGGCAGGTGACTCAATATTTTGGTACCTGGAGGACCTTCCCTGAGTCAGCCTCGTGGTTTCCACCCAGCTGGGACCTCCCTGGTGATGGGAGATGTTTGGGACCTGGGATTGCCTTTAGGTTTTTTATTTTTCCCCCTGCAGGGCAGCTGAAGGGAAGCCCAACCTTCACAGGCTGATTCCTCCAACCTCCCCACACCGCTGTTTTTGGGGCATCCAAAAATCCCCTTCACCCTCCTAACCGTGCTTGGCTCCCCTCCCTGTCCCCCACCCCTGCCAAGGGATGGAGATCCCTGAATCCCCCTTTTCCCCTGCTGGCAAAAGGGTTATTCCTGAGGACAAACCCCTGGGAACCTGCCCTGGGCAGCCCTTTGGAGAACCTCAACCCTTTGCTCCTGAGGCTTTTCCCTGAGGATCCGAGCCCTCCATCCAGAGAATCCCCCTTTCCCAGAGTAATTCCTGGGCCTCCCCCCCGGGCAGGATTGGACAGCACCGTGGATCTGTGTGTGTCTTGGCACTCCTGGCTCCTCAGCCTTTCAAAGAGGGGCCCTGTGGTTAATCAGAGGGATTAACCACAGCCTCCCAAAACGTCCTGCCAGCCAATCAGGAGGCTCTTCCCAAGGCCATTCCCGCTACAACGCCGCCCTTGTCCGGCACCAACGTGGATCCTTCTGGTTCACTTGCTCAGTGGGGCTCAGGGACCCTCTGGATTCCCAGGAATCCTAAATGTGGAGCAGGATTCCATCATCATCACCATCATCATCATCATCATCATTATTACTATTACTATATTAATATTATTATTATTTTCAACTGTGGAGGGCAAATGTTTTCCAGTTCAAAGGGGATTCCAGCTTGGCAGCAGGAAAATTGCTGTTTTCACCCCCAAAGCTTTCAAATCTACTCCCACTGGCTTTTCAGTGCCTGCTGCCTGCACAGATAGATACAGAGACACCCATATATAAAAATATAGATATAAATACACCCAGACACACACACGAAATTAATATTGGCAAACACTCCACTCCACCAGTGGAAACCACAGAGAAACATTCCCATATCTGGGGATTCTGATGTAATAGGGCTGAGGTTTCACATTCCAGGCCAGCTTTTCAAGAGTCAGGGCTGTCATTCAGAGTTCCCGCTGCTGCTCCCGCATCCCGGTGGGTGGGGTGAGGGGAAGGAAAGGAGGGAGGAAGATGCTGAATTGGTTGGTTTCTTTGGGGTTTATTTCTAATTTCAGGCAGTTAAAGGCAGCGCAAAGTGGGCTGGGGGCAGGAATTTTAACCCTTTCCAGGTGGGGTATTCAGGAATCCCTGAGTGGAGCTGCAGGGCCCAGCCCAGGGAGAAGGAAAACATCCTGATATTTAATGGAAACCTCAGGGTTTCTGAGCCCAGCTCTAAAAAATACAGAGAGCCAAGAGAACTGAAACCTCTTAGAGGATTAATTACTACGAGCTCTCCTGCGACAGGACCTTTTCCAACGCGACTTTGGCAAGCTCAGGTTGTGTCTGGGTCGGATAACCACAGGCAGAGGGATTTGAAAAAGGGAAAAATAAATGCAGGTGATTTTTTTTTTCCCCCCTCGTATCCCAGAGCCAAAGTTTATCCCCCCCTCCCCGTGTTTCCTGGGGTGGGTGATGCTCCACCAGGCTGGAGTGTACAATTCCAGCAGAAATCCCAGGCTGAGGGGCAGTTTGTTCCAGCCAAGGCTTTGTCCTCGTGGAGATCCAAGAGATCTCTGGATGTAAAGAGAGTTTGTAAAGCGCTTTGGGTTCCTTTGGGCTGAAAACCTCCCAGGTGTGGGATCAACCCACCCCCTAACCCCCCTCCAACAATCCCACGCCAGGAAATGCAGACAGCACCTGCAGAGGTGACAGCAGGCTGTGATTCCCAGGGATCCCCAGCCCCAGGGGTGTCCCCACGGCAGGAGGGCGCGTTCTAATGCGACGCTATTTTTTCCATCGTTTCTGCTGCAGGAGGTCTTTGATCGCCTCTATTTGATTTATACTGTTGGATACTCCATCTCCCTGGGATCCCTCACAGTTGCTGTCCTTATCCTGGGATACTTCAGGTAGGCGGCTCTGGTTTTACCTCAGGGGAAAGCCCCGGGCTCTCCCCCAGGATCAGTGTGGGGTGGCGATCCACGAGCGGTTCCGGCTGGGGTTTGGGCTGTGTCAGTGCCTCTCAGCTCAGACTTCCTGGGGGATGGGGGGTGGGGTGTTGGAACTCCCTCCTCTTCCCTGCAGAGGAGTTTTCCAGACCCTCTGTGGCAAAAACGGGAAGAGGGGAATCTCCAGGAAGAGGTTGGTCCCTTGGAAAACCCTCTGGGGTTTTCTGTCCTATTGCCCACCTGGCTCAGATTTATATGGGGTTTTTTTTGAGACAGTTCAGGTTTCATGAGGGAAGTTCCACTCCAAACCCAAATATCCACGAAGGATAGACCAGCTGCAGGGAACCCCCACCATCCCAGGCTGATTCCTCCAACCTCCCCCTGCTGCTGTTCCCAGGGATCCAAAAATCCCCGTTCACCCTCCTAACCCTGCTGGCCTCCCCTCCCTTTCCACCACCCTCTGCCAAGGCATGGAGACCCCTAAACACCACTCTGAACCCACAGCATCCACTCCTCAGAGCTCAGGTTGCATCTCCCATCCCTGGAAGCGTCCAAGGCCAGGTTGGAGCAACCTGGGATAGTGGGAGATGTCCCTGCCCATGGAAGGGGGTGGAACTGGGTGATCCTTAAGGTCCCTTCCAACCCAAAGCACTGTAGGATTCTGGGATTCTCGCTGGCACAGAGAGCTCGGGATGGGAGGGATGGAAGGGGTCTCCACATCCAGGGATTTGTCCTTTGGGAAGCCGTACCTGGAGAGCTGGGAATAGAGCAGGGGGCTGAGTGCCAAGCCCTGAGCCCCAGATCTGCTTCCCTTGGGGGTCTGGTCACATCTTCTCCTGGGAAACAGCAGGACCCAGGCAAGGGCTGAGGGGGGAAACCCTCCCTGTGCTGGGAACACCAGGTGGGGTCTGCACAGGGAGCTGGAGCCAAGCCCTGCACACGAAGCACTGGGAATAAAACGGGTGGCTTTTGGCTCTGAAAGGGCTCAGGCCCCTCTGCAGGGAGCAAAAGGGGCTCAGGGGGATGTGCTTGGACAGCAGAGCCCGAATTTGGGACACACACAGGGCAGAGGGGGCTGCAGACCCCTCCTGGAGGAACTGCAATGATGCATCCCTGTCCCCATCCCTGCCCCCACACTCCTGGTCTCCCAGCCCTCTCCTTCTGTTTCGTTTCCCACTGGACACTGGCAAGGTTGTTAAAATATTCCATGTCCGTGGATCTGAGAGCATTCCCAGTTTCAGGAGCTCAAGAGTATTCCTGGTTTCTCTCTTTGTTCCTGTCCTCAGAGCACTTCATTTACAGCCCAGACCACCTGGAGAACTGTGCTAGAACATCTTTATCCCAGGGATCAAAGCAGCAGCAGGGATCAAGCCAGGTTTTATCCCAGATCACACACAATCCAGAGATTCACTGACTCCATCACAAATGCAGGGAACAAAGCCCATCTTCCTTTCTACCTCCTCAGTTCCACTTGGTGTAATCTGGATTATAATAGCCCAGAGAACAACTGTCATTACTGTCATAATATCCTCCAAAGGAGACAAAACCACAGCTTTTCATTTTTGCTTCCATCATTGGAGCTGGGGATTTAAGAGGATGTTCATCCATCCATAAATCCATGCATGGCCAGCCAGGCAACAGAGCTCTAGAGGACAGAGGGGACCCCAAGAGATCAGTTAGCTCCTCCTCCCCCAAAAACCCATGATCCCTGGTTCCTAAATGCACTCTCATATGTGGGTCCAACCCCACTGACCTCTCACCATCCAGCTCTTCCCCCAGAAAGGATCTTAAAGCGCTTTACAATCAGCAGTTGTGGGGTCGTCGCTGCCGTGGCTGGGGTGGAGCCCAAAACCTGCTCAACAGGAGCAAGGAAAGGATAAGGATTCGAACAGGGAACAGGGGAAACAGGGACAACACCCAACACACTTGAGTGACTCCTGTAGTTGCTGCTAAATTTGGGCACAAAAATCAGCACTTTACAGGAAGCTCTGCCAGCTTTGCAGTGGTCTGTGAGGGATGGGAAAGGGGGAATGGCTTCCAACTGCAGCAGGGTTGGTTTAGAGCAGATTTTAGGAGGGAATTCTTCCCTGTGAGGGTGGGCAGGCCCCTGGAACAGATTTCCCAGAGCAGCTGTGGCTGCCCCTGGATCCCTGGAAGTGTCCAAGGCCAGGCTGGAGCAACCTGGGCTGGTGGAAGGTGTCCCTGCCCATGGCAGGGTGGTGGAACGAGATCACCTTTAAGGTCCCTTCCAACCCAACCCATTCCACGATCCCATGATTCCAGGAGCCCCCTGGAGCAGGAGTTAACCGGGGTACAGGATGAGTGGAGGTGGCACTGCGGGGCTCAGAGGAGCTGGGGCTCTTTGGGGGGGGCACAGACGACCCCGAGAACGTCCCCCAGATGGGCTGAACTTCCCCCCACCCCTCTCTGTGTCCCCCTGCAGACGTTTGCACTGCACTAGAAACTACATCCACATGCACCTGTTCGTGTCCTTCATGCTGAGGGCCGTGAGCATCTTCGTGAAGGACGCTGTCCTGTACTCGGGCTCAGCCCTGGAGGAGATGGAGAGGATCTCAGAGGAAGACTTGAAATCCATCACTGAAGCCCCTCCAGCGGATAAGTCACAGTTTGTGAGTACCCCCCAGGGCAGGTGGCTCTCTGATCTTCGTGCCTCTGTCCTGTCTGGTCAGCACTTTGCTTTCTTTTCAGGGGGGATTTTCCACCCTGCCGAGGTGGAAACGCTCCCCTTGTGCAGTCTTATCCCACTCCTTCCCACTCCCACTCAATCCAGAGGGATTTCCCGACCCCTGAGCTGTTCCTCATGGCTGATGTTTTGACTCCAATCTACAGCTCCTCTTTTCAACACTCCCCTGCTGTGCCCTGAATTTTACGGCTCCGGGAACATTCCTGACTATCCCAGGAGTGCTCGTGCTCCACCGTGTTCTTCTCCCACCACAGCTGGCTCATTTTTCCACTGGGAGCTCCTCTCTGGATGCCCCACAGAGGCTCCACTGGGCTGGGACATCTGTGCCACCAAAGTGACAGCCCAGAGGTGGCAAAGCCACCACATCATGGGAGGGTCTGAGCCCTGGCTCCTTCTCCTGAGGCAGAAGGTCACCAGAGGACATCTCACCTCACTGGGATTTTGGAGCAAACCACAGCTGGTTGTTCCTGTTGTGATTTATCCCGGAATTGTGGAATGGTTTGGGTTGGAAAAGATTTTAGGGATCATCCAGTCCCACCCTCTGCCAGGGGCAGGGACACCTTCCACTAGCCCAGGTTGTACTGGCCATGAGCCAGGGGGGAGGAAGCCCATCCTCATATTCCAAAGTCCTCCTCAGTTTCTAACATACCAGCTCTCCTTGTCACTGGTCCCAGCACAAATTTTCCGTGGTATCCTTGGAATGGGCTCTTCTCACTCTCTGCAATCCCTGACAGGAGGGGGGAGCCGGGAGGGGTCGGGCTCTGCTCCCAGGAAACAGGGACAGGAGGAGAGGGAACGGCCTCAGGCTGTGCCAGGGGAGGTTGAGGTTGGATATTGGGGAAAATTCCTCATGGAGAGGGTTGCTGAATCATTGGCAGGGGCTGCCCAGGGAGGTTTGGAGTGCCCAGCCCTGGAGGTGTCCCAGGGCACTCAGTGCTCTGGGCTGGGGACAAGGTGGGCATCGGGCACAGGGGGGGACTCTGTGACCTTGGAGGGCTTTTCCAACCTCAGGGATTCTGGGATAAACTTCCTGCCTGCACATTTATTTGGCTTCTCAAGTCTTTCACAGCTTCTGCCCCCGCCAGGCACCCGCCAGCAACCCCCTGAACACAATCAGTGCATGTGGAGTGTCCCACTGGGCATCCGAGTCATCCCACATGGAAATCTGGTGTTGTGTTTCCTTCCCATTCCAAGATCCATCTCATTAACGGGCTGAGAACTCAGCACACTTCCAAACACTCACTTTTTGGGAAGCACCCCAAAGTTTCACTGCATTGTGTTCTGTTTCTCCTTGGGCTGGACTCATTCAGAGGAATAATTGGGATAATAAATGGCATTCTTTGAATATTAGCATTTTAATGGCATCTCCCATTCTTCTGGATTGAAGGGCAAATAAGTGATGAAGGCAACAATTAGTGTATTTCTTTTGTTTCCAAGGGAAGTGGGAACTTTGCAATTATTGCCTGATGCTCCCTGTGTGGGGGTCCATGGTGTATTTTTATAAATATAAAACAGAAATATAGAATATAACATTTACCACATATAAAACAGAAATATAACATTTACCACATATAAAACAGAAATATATAAATATAAAAATTATTATTAATCCCACTTAGAAGGGGATTTTTAATTGGTCTTCTATTTTAACTCACTTTGTAAAAGAAAATGAGTGTAACGTGTCCATATCTTACTGCCATACAAATACATGTATATATGGAGATAAGATGTGCATATTCATTTAGATTGACAAAGGATCAGCATGAGAGCCGTGCCAGGATAAAAAAAAAAATCCCTTTTTTATTTACAAGGGACATGTTATTGACATTTTCTGCCAACAGGAATTTCACCCCCACGTTCCTCACACACGCTCCTGTCCTTCTGTGGTCGTTGCAGGTGGGCTGCAAAGTAGCTGTTACCTTCTTCCTCTACTTCCTGGCAACTAATTACTACTGGATCCTGGTGGAAGGGCTCTATCTCCACAGCCTCATCTTCATGGCATTTTTCTCAGAGAAGAAATATCTTTGGGGATTCACATTATTTGGCTGGGGTAAGTCGTGCCTGCTCCTCACACCTCCCCTGGGAGAAGCCTCTTGGAGGTGGTTTTTGCAGCTGGTCGTGGATAGAAATAAATACAGGAGAAGGGACGTTGTAAATAAACACAGGATGAGCCCCAGTGACTCTTCAAGGACAGGTTTTCTGTCCCATAAAAGCTTTACCCCTTCTGAATTGTGGGATCCCTTCAGGATCCTCTGAGCTCTCCCCATCCCTTCCCAGCGCTCCTGTGGGGCTGCAGGGGCACAAAGTTCCCTGAGGCTTTCTGAGCTGCTCCCAAGCTCTGATTTCCTCCCTCTGACCTCAGCTGCTGTAAAAAGCTCCCCAAGGTTTCAGAGAACACCAGTGGAAACCTGCAATTTGTGGCCAGGGCTTATTTTTTTGCCTTCCTTGCCTTCCAACTTGGGCACCTCCTCGGTGAGGACGGAGGAAAGGAGGGCAACCAGCAGGAGGAGGCTTTGTGGGCACCCACATTTCAGACAAAAATGCGATTTTTCTGTTCCCTTCTGGCCTTAGTTTCGGCTTCCAAGGAGTGATGAGGTGCTGGGAGGCTCAGGACAATAAACCAAGTGCCCACAGTGGTCCTGGAGCCTGTGGAGCGGGAGGCAGAGCAGGAAGGGGGTGGGATGGTCCTTGAGGACACAACCAAGAGGAAGGGGCTGTGGCTCCACACAGGAGCTCCCAGCAGGAAAAACCTGCTCAGGGGTGGGGGGGTCTGTGGTTACCCTAAACTGTGTGGCCCAGGACTGCTTCCCAGATTCCAGGTTTCAAATGTACCTGGCCACATCCTGACTGCAGTTTGGGACAGGGTTCATGTGTGCACCACGACATTCCCAGCCCACAGCTGGATCCCTTGGGGAAAATAGCTGGTGGTTCTGAGCAAGCCACGTGGTGCAGGATGAAGTTTATGATGGATTGGAGGGTTTTGGGATTCAGGTCGGCCTGCAGGAGTCTCCTCAGCTTTCCTGCTTCCCAAGTTGCTCCCTGCAGACCTCATGTTCAGTGGGTGATGAGGTCAGAAACTGCTGGTGCTGCCACAGCATAAAGATGGGAGGTGTAAATTTGAGTCTCAGATTGGGAATCCATCTCCCAGGAAAAGATCTGGGCAGTTGGAATGTTTTGGGGAAAATAAATAAATCAACAGACAGGGCTTGGAGCAACCTTAGCAACCCTGGAAGGTGTCCAGGGGGTGGAATGAGATGAGCTTTAAGGTCCCTTCCAGCCCAAACCATTCTGGGATTCTGCTTTGTGGATGGGGCATCTCCTACCTCAGCTGCTGTGGGACACAGAGGACTTCAGGGGTCCCTGATACCAATTAAATTAATTAAAAAAAAAGAAAAAAAAAAACAAAACAAAACAAAACAAAAAACCATAAAAAACCAAAACAAAAAAAAAACAAAACAAAACAAACAAAAAAAAAAAAAAAAAAAAAAAAAAAAAAAAAAAACTTCTTCCAAACCTTCAAGTAAAATCTACTTCTCAGAAAATGCCATTAAACTGTACAGGGCAGACTTAAAGAAGCCATTCCCCAGAGGGAACTCGGGAAGAGAGGGAAGCAGGAGGAAAATAATGCCATATGTTTCCCAAGAAAACCCAACTGTGAGCTGCTCACAGCTCAGCCAAAGGAAACCAGGCCAAGAGCCACGAGCTGCCCTCATTAATTCCCCCAGGCACTGCCAGGGAATAATCATTTTATCAGAGCAACCACAGAGCCCTGAGTGAGTCCCACCTGTCACAACACCCACCCTGGATGTGCTTCCAGGAGTTTGAGGCTGCTCCGTTTAAATTCCTCTGGAATGAGAACACAGGATCCCTCCGGTGGCATCTGGGCTGCCTGTGTTTGGATTAGCATGATAATGTTCACACAACGCATTGTTTGGATAGTTTTTTGGGCACTGGAAAGGGGCAAACCGGTCCAGGAGCCACTGGAATCGGTGGAAAAAAACCTGCAGCTCCCTGCAGTGGGCACTGGATCCTGCCCACACCACACAGGGACTGCCAGGGAATGGGGGAGCAATAACGAGGCCGTTCCACGTAGGACACAAAAGATGGGTTTGCCCTCAAAGCTGGGACATCAGAACAATAAAAAGGGTTTGCATTTATCCCCCCTGGAAATCTCCAAAAACCCCCCCAAAAAATCACCCTGCAAGGTCTTATTTCCAGAACTGCTGAGGTAACCAGGATGTTTGGTTAACTCTTTGAGGTGAAATCCAAGGATTTCTGTCAGGTCTGTTCAATCCATGTCCTCCCCTGGCACGAGGGAGCTCAGCTCCATCAGCAAGTCCTCATTCCCTTCTTCCCAGGGAGACCCTCATGGCAGAGAAAGACCCCAGAAAAAGAAATAAATAATGACATGATGGGCACCAATAAATTCTCCAGCAGACCTGGAGTTGCCCCTGCAGCTGTTTTTGGGGGGGAAGTCCAAGAGCCACCACCAGTCACTGGGAAACCCAAGCTGATCCCACTGGCATTTTCCCTTCACTCCCTCTTAATTCCTTGCAGCTGGAATGCCCTGGATTTCAGCTCCAGGGGAGTGGAGAAGATAAACGGGATGGTGTTAGACTGTTAGAGGTGTTCAGGTCCCAAAATCCCTGTTTATCTAAGCAGGAATCCTCCTTCCCTAAGGGAATTTGTACCCCCCAGGAGCAGAGGCATCAGGGAGTGTTTTATCCCTGTTTAACAGCAGGAATATTGGTGGTACCAATCCTCTCCCTCCCATTCCTCTGCCTCAGGTTGTGTTTCTGTGTCACTGTAACTCCACCTGGGCTCTCAGGGAATCCCTGGAGTTCAATCCTTCCCTTTCCCTGGCCAATTAAATGTCATGGAATGGCAGAACTGTCGAGGTTGGAAAAGCCCTCCCAGACCATTTAACATCAGGAAACCACGACCCAGAGGGGCTGATCAAAGCCAGGCATTGTCCCTCAGAGAGGAGGAATCCCAGGGAGCTGATACCAGATTTCCTCGGGGGTTTATCCCTAAATCCTCTCCCTCCCTCCCAGCCTGATCCCGCCTTTCCAGCCCCTGGAGACACGGCCACAGGGAAAGGGCCGGAGCAGGGCAGGGGTTGGGGTGCCCCCTGTGCAGCTGCTGGGGAGACACCGACTTTGCAGCAGCTGCATTGTACACACTGTGTGTGTGACTGCAACGCACAGCGCATGCAATGTGGGTGTTGTGCAAGTCGCTCACGGCAGCGCCGCCCGGGCCGGGGCACGGGAGGGGTGAGACAGCCCTCACTCCACCCATCTCCCATCCCCCATTCACCCATCCCTACATCCACCCACCCACCCATCCCTACATCCACTCACCCACCCATCCACCCATCCATCCATTCATCCACCCGTTCCATCCAACCCTCCCTCCATCCATCCCTCCATCCACTCATCCCTCCATCCCTCCATCCACCCTTCCACCCATCCACTCATCCCTATATCCATCTATCCATCTCATCCATCTACTCATCCCTCCATCCACCCATCTCCCATCCCCCATCCACCCATCCCTACATCCACCCATCCCTTCATCCACCCATCCATCCATCCATCCACCCATCCATCCATCCACTCATCCCTACATCCATTAATCCATCCACCCATCCATCCCCCATTCACCCATCCCTACATCCATCCATCCACCCATCCATCCACCTATCCATCCACCCATCCATCCATCCCTCCATCCGTCCATGCATCCATCCATCCATCCATCCATCCCTCCATCCATCCATCCATCCATCCATCCATCCACCCATCCAACCCTCCATCCATCCTCCCATCCACCCATCCATCCACCCACCTATCCATCCATCCATCCATCCATCCATCCATCCCCCCATCCATCCATCCATCCATCCATCATCCACCCATCCAATTCTCCATAACTTCATCCCTCCATCCACCCACTCATCCCTCCCTCCCTCCCTCTGCACCCACAGCCCCTAGGAGATCACAGGATTTTTGGACACTCCTTCCTCTGGTGGCTTGGCCAGATGGATTTATCCATGGATGGCTCTCCTGGGTGTCCGTCTGTTTGTGGGTGTCTTTGAGGACCTCAGTCCTGATTTTTAAGGGTTGTCCCATCAGTGGGAGCTGTGAGTGCTCAGCAGGAGGGGTTGTCAATCTTTGGGGCCTCACAGACCAGGAATTTCAAGTGGAGACACCAGAAGGTCATTCATGACCCTCTGGAAATAGAGGAGATGCTGGAGGCAAGGTCTTTGCTCCTTCTGGAGCACAAATCTGATGAGGAGCAGCTGAGGGAGCTGGGGGGGCTCAGCCTGGAGAAAAGGAGGCTCAGGGGGGACCTTCTGGCTCTGCAATCCCTGACAGGAGGGGGGAGCCAGGGGGGGTCGGGCTCTGCTCCCAGGGAACAGGGACAGGAGGAGAGGGAACGGCCTCAGGCTGTGCCAGGGGAGGGGCAGGTGGGATATTGGCACAATTCCCTCCTGGAAAGTGTTGTCAAACACTGGAATGGGGTGCCCAGGGCAGAGGTGGAGTCCCCATCCCTGGAGGGGTTTCAAAGCCCTGTGGATGTGGCACTTGGGGACATGGTCAGTGCTGGGAATGGTTGAATTCCAGGATCTCGGAGGGCTTTTCCAGTCTCACCAATTCCATGATTCCATGGCTTTTCCCACTGAAAGTTTAGCCTGTCAGGGAAAGACTGAACTGTAGGAATTACCTGAGAGCCCAAGTGTTCATGTCACACTGACCAAGAAGCAAAACACCAGGCAGAGGATAGAGAGGGAGAGGATTCCAACCACCTTCTGTGAATTTAAGGACATTTACACTTCAAAACTGCAGAAAAAAAAAACAACAATGGAAGGGACACAGAAAGACAAATGTAGCAGTAAAGTGGGTGCCAGGAATTCACTCCATGGGCTTTGCAAAAAATCTCCAGGATCCTTTTCCTAAATTGCCTGCCCAGGGTGAGGCAGCAGCACCACAAATGCACACAGTGGGGTTTTTTAGGGTAACTCTCCTCTCCAAAGACATTTAAGCCTTTGGTAGCTTAGGCACTAATCTGGACCATGCACCTATTTTTCATTGATAGGTGAGTAAGAGTGAGGAGGGAGGAGATGGTTCTTGTTCCAAGAAATCCACACCTTCCCAAGCCCTCAGCTCCCCCATCCCCTGTGCAGGGGGTCGGGGGGGTCTCACTGCAGAGCCCCCAGTCCTGGGGATGGCAGAGCAGGGTGAGTGGGGCTTGAGAGGAATAAAACTCATGTCAAATATCCCCAAACCTCTGAATCAATCCATCTTTCAAGCTGAAAACTTCACTCTAGTGGGAGAATATCCGATATCTCACAGACAGGCTCGTCAGCCTCTCACCATGAGCAGTTTCCCAGTTGATTGAAAAGGGAATATCAGCAAAACTAAAGACATTTAAGCCTCTGGTAGCTCGGTCACTAATCTGGACCGGGCACCTATTTTTCATTGAGAGGTGAATAAGAGTGAGGAGGAAATAGGTGCTGCCTGTTCCAAGAAATCCTCACCTTCCCAAGCCCTCAGCTCCCCCATCCCCCGGGCAGGGGGTCAGGGGGGGGGTCTCCCTGCAGAGCCCCCAGATTGCAGAGTAGGGTGTGCTCCTCACAAACGCACCTTTGTAGGCAGGGCTGGGGCTGAGTGGGGCCCTGTGTTTAATTATTTATGCTTTCTTAGGAGAAGGACGGCGTTGTCCCCGAGCGGAGCTGCCAGCCCGGCCCCTCCACCCCAAAGCCCGGGACAGCGCCCGGGGCAGGAAAGCCTCTAAGCACCCTAATGAGACTTAAGTGCATGCTGAAAGTTAAGCCTGGCCTTATTCCTGCCCGGCCCCAACCAGCTTAGGCTGGGAACAGCGTATTTACAGTCCCTGGTGATAAATGTCGCCTTTATTTATTTTTTAATTTTTTTTTTTTCCCCCCACCTGAAAGGGCCTATTCTTCCCGATCTGTGGAAGCTACTGTGGGTTTGATCCTGCCTTTTAAGGGAAGCCAGTAGGGGACTCAGTTGTACAAATAACTGGACCCTATAAAAATAAATAGAAGATTGCATTTGGATATTGGGAGAATTTTCTTGCTGCTGCTGCTGGTGATGATGATGATGCCCCAGCGTGGCTGTGCTGAACTAAGGATGGTTCATTTGGGAGTGAACCTTTGGCTGCAGCATTTGGGGAGCACTGCTCGAAATTTCAGCATTTCTGTGCTTCAGGCAGCAAGTCTGGCCCACTTAACAGAGCTGCTGATCCATCCAGCCCTGAGCTGGGGGGAAATGGTCTGAGCCTGACTCCAGATCCCCCTCTCACTGCCGGGAAGGGAGGGAGAAAACACCTTGGGAAAGGTGTGGTGCACAAAGCCATTGGAATCCCAGAATCCCAGAAGGGTTTGGGTTGGAAGGGACATTAAGGATCATCCAGTGCCATCCCCTGCCATGGGCAGGGACACCTCCCACCAGCCCAGGGTGCTCCAACCTGCCCTTGGACACTTCCAGGGATCCAGGGGCAGCCACAGTTTCTCTGGGAAATCCATTCCAGTCCCTCTTCACCCTCCCAGACAACAATTCCTTCCCAATATCTCACCTAAATTTCTCCTCCTTCATCTTAAAGCCATTCCCTGTGCCCTGTCCCCCCATCCCTTGTCCCCAGTCCCTCTCCAGCTCTCCTGGAGCCCCTTTAGGCCCTGCAAGGGGCTCTCAGGTCTCCCTGGATCCTTCTCTTCTCCAGGAGAACATTCCCAGCTCTCCCAGCCTGTGTCCATAAGAGAATTCTCTGCTTCCAGTGGAATGAGTTGGATACAACAGCTCTCAGTCCCCCACCCAAGCTGTGTCTGTAGAGCGGTGACAGGGGAAAGGCACCTGAGGATTCATCCTGTGAAATCCACGGCCCATTCCAGGCCCAGACCAGCTGTTTATCTCCCAAACGTCCCTCAGGAGGCAGGTTAAGCCTGGATCACTCCTGGCCTGCAGGCTGGAAAAGCAAAGTGCCACGTTTTGAAAGCCAGGAGGGTTCAGTAACGTGGACGTGTCCAAACCATGGCATTTACCTTCCAGAAAACGCTCCCTGCCACTGGGTGTTTACCATTTGGGCTGCAAAAGAGGGCTGAGATGGAGATCAAGGAATCATAGAATTGTTTGGGTTGGAAAGGACCTTTATGGCCATGGAGTCCAACCATCCCCAGCACTGCCAAGGCCACCACTGACCATGTCCCCAAGTGCCACATCCACAGGGCTTTGAAATCCCTCCAGGGATGGGGATTCCAGGCGGAATTTTCCCCACTATCCCACCTGCCCCTCCCCTGGCACAGCCTGAGGCCGTTCCCTCTCCTCCTGTCCCTGTTCCCTGGGAGCAGAGCCCGACCCCCCCCGGCTCCCCCCTCCTGGTCAGGGATTGCAGAGCCAGAAGGTCCCCCCTGAGCCTCCTTTTCTCCAGGCTGAGCCCCCCCAGCTCCCTCAGCTGCTCCTGCTGCTCCAGCCCCTTCCCAGCTCCCTTCCCTTCCCTGCACACGCTCCAGCCCCTCCGTGTCCTTCTTGACATGAGGGATCCAAAACTGAGGGTCTCCTCCAATTCTGACCCCTCATCTCACTCCAGACCTTATTTAGTCCACTCTGTGCCTCATCCCCACTTCCAAGGCATCTTCCTTGGCTACAGATGACAGTGAGGATGAGACCCAGGATTCCCAAACTCTTCCTTCTCATACCAGACACCCCCCCAGCAGTTTTGTCTTTCTTGTCTCGAGGGGCCCAAAACTGAATCAGATCAGACCTTAAACCTGAGAGATGAGCCCTCCCTAGCCTAAATTACGCCTGAATATTGGAAAACTGCCCCTGTGCCCTTCCTCTACCCCCCTGCACGTGGATTTTGGTGTGCAATGCCCTCCTGACCCCTGCCCTGTGTTCCTTGCAGGTCTCCCAGCTGTATTTGTCACAGCGTGGGCCAGCGTGAGAGCCACTCTCGCCGACACAGAGTAAGTCCCACCGGCTTTTCTGCTCTTCCTTTCACAGGTGAAGCTTTCAGTGGGGCTCCTGGGTGAATTCCAAGGGGAAAAATGAACCAGGCAAAGCCAGAAGTTTACTGTGGAGTTAGGAAAGACTTGGGGAAGGGGGGGGTTATGGCAGGGAAGGATAAACCTTCCTAACTTTCACTTCGTTTTCTGTGAGATGCCATGAAATGGGGCCACCTGCAGCTGTTATCCCTGGGGATAAGAGGGATAACTTCCCAGCTAGGCAGGGATAAGGTCTTTAAAGTGCTGAATGAACAGGAAGGAACCTGGGACACAGCACAGCCAAAGGTTTGGGGCGGGTGAGGTGGTGAAGATGTAAATCCCACACACAGGACACGGGGATCTCGGGATCCCAGAATGTTTGGGTTGGAAGGGACCCCAAAGCTCATCCAGTCCCACCCCTGCCACGGGCAGGGACACTCTCCCACTATCCCAGGCCCACATCCAACCTGGCCTTCCCCCCATAAAGCAGAGGTTTGACCACACAGCAGGTTCCATCTGCCCACCATCTGCCAGCAGGAGCATGGGGGTCCCCAGGAAACTTCCCAAATGGTTTTGCCTGGGAAGACACTGCTTTTTTTTTTTTTTTTTTTCCTTTTGGGAAGGAATTTCTTGCTGTGAGGGTGGGCAGGTCCTGGCATTGGATTCCCAGAGAAGCTGTGGCTGCCCCATCCCTGGAAGTGTCCAAGGCCAGGTTGGAGCAGCCTGGGACTAGTGGGAGGTGTCCCTGCCCATGGCAGGGGGTGGAACTGGATGATCCTTGAGGTCCCTTCCAATCCAAACTCATTCTGGGATTCCATTCCTAAGCCATTTCAGAGCCCCCTGCTCAGGATTCACCTGGAGAGCACAAACCACCCCTGCCATGGCTATGGAGCAGGAGAAAGGCCACATCAAACCCACCCACCCACCCTTCCAGGGGTGGATTTCCCCCAGGAGCCCCTTGATCTGTTGCTCCTCATCACCACTGATCTCCTGACCAAACCCCCCCATCTCTCCTCAGGTGTTGGGACTTGAGTGCTGGCAATTTAAAGTGGATTATTCAGGTGCCCATCCTGGCAGCTATCGTGGTGAGTACCCGTCCCTGGGAGCTGAGGCAGTGCCTGTGCTGGGAAGGGAAGGGTTGGGCCAGGATTCCCCACTCCAATAATTAATAACAACCTCCCCTTAATAATGTGGGGGCTTTATATATTCAATTTAAGGGCCTCCTTGTTTTGGACCTGCCTGGGAGTTTGACAGTTTGACAGCACAGGGGTTTGAGAGGCTTCAAGTTTTGCTCAGGAGAGAAAAATCCCACCTTTTAAACCCTAAAATCCTTAAGGAGACCAACATTCCAAGCAGCATTTCCAACCCCTGTGGTACAGGCAGCTCTCAGGGGTCGTTCTTCCCACTGGTGGAGCCAGAGGGGACAGGAATGTCCCAGGGCTGTTCTCCAGAGCCAGGGCTGGGCTCTCCAAAGCTGGAGAGCTCGTTATAAAATGGGATTATCTGCACCAGGGGAACCCAGGGGCATTGTCCTAATGGGGTGGGGACCCTGCTTTCCCAGATCTCATTAATCACCCTCGAGGTGAGGGTGCTCAGGTGAGGTTGGACAGCTTGGATTTAGCCAGAAGAAGATCCCACTTTTGAGCCTCTGAAGCCCCCAGAAAATCCCATGAGAAATAAATCCTGCTGGGGGTTTCCTTCCCTTTCGGATTGGCTTCCAAAGGAAAGGAATTATCTGCCTGTCCATCCCTCCCTCCCAACTCCTGTGCCAGGCACTGAATCCCAACCAAATGGAACTCAGGGAATGGGCTTTCCTGGATGTTAAATTCCCCCAGAACAGATCCAGGAGAGGAATTTTCCCGGTGGCCCTTCCAGGGAAAGGGCGTGGCAGGACCTTCCTGCCTCTGTGCCAGAGGGGAACTGCTCAAAATGAACTTGCACCTCGTTAAAGGGGAAGGAATCCAACCCCAGGAGACAAAGCCAGGCCCTGCTCAGTCAGCAGCTCAGGGAGCTGCTTTTGACAGTGAGGATAATTATCCACTGGAACGGCTTCCCAATGTTTCTGTCATGGAAACACTGGGAGCCAGATCTGCTCCAGCTCAAGCCAGAATGGAAACAGGGAGGTCTCCTGGGCTGTGCCGTGCCAGAGATCAAACCAGAGGTTGACAATGGTCCCTTCTGGCATGAAATTCCAAGCCTGTGTGGTTATTTGGTGCCTTGAACTGCTGCTCCGGGGGCATCTGGGCAGTCAGATGAACAGCTGGAAGCTCCCAGAGGGATCCACAGGACACAGCACTGCCCAGGGCACAGGGATCTGCCCAGGGCACTCCCACAGTGCTGCTGCATTAGTGCCATGAATGGGGCAGTCAGGGAAACCAGCCTCTGAAGAGCTCCAAAAACCCAAGAATCCCTGGAATGTCAACCTGTTTTCCATCTCTGTTAAGGAGCCAGGAGATGTTTGGCCATTCAGTTTTGCCCTGTGGGCCACCAGGAGCCCACCAGGAGCACGGTCCTGCAGGGCAGGGTTGGATTCACAGGGTCATTGAGGTTGGGGAAGTTCTCTGACACTGAGCCCAACCACTCCCAGCACTGCCAAGGCCACCACTGACCCAGGGCCACAAGTGCCACCTCCACAGGGCTCTTCAATCCCTCTAGGGATGATGATTCCAGCACTTCCCTGGGTAGTTATTCCAAGCTGTGAGCAGCTGGATTAGCTTGGTTGGGAGCTGGGTCCAGAGATGAGTCTCCCTGCATAGGAAGCAGATATTCCTCCCTGGCTGTCCCTGTGTGCCCCACACCCACCACCTCTCCAGGTGGTGAAGCACAGCTCAAGTTTGGCAGTTCCACCGCTCTCCCCCCGTCCTGATCTGGCACCTCCACTCAGGTCCACTCTGTGTCTCCATCACGGTGCATTTGGCTCGTTCTCCTTTCATTTTCCACGTGGGAACGTGGCAAGCCATCCTGCTGATGCTCCTGCTGTCCTGGGGAGATCTGAATCTCGGTTGGGCTGCAAGAGAAAAATGCAACTTGATTTGGGTCATTTCCCCAGAGTTGCCCAGTTTCCCCAGAGTTGCCCAGTTTCCAGGTGCCTGCTGGGCTGGCTGGCTCAGATTTGGGATTTTTTCCCATGTTAGATGTCCTCACCTTGTCAGAGAAAGCCATTCCTTCCTCTCTCCCAAGGGTAAACACCGACAAAATCCCACCAAGCGGGTCATTCCCGGCAAGCTCAGCCCTTCCCCAGGGCAAGCTCTCCCAGGAGGAGCTCCCTGTACAGTCCCTGCCTTGACTCACCCTGGGGGAATGAATCAACTGAAGGACTCTGCCACCAGCTGGATGTGTTTTTTTAACACCTCTCCTTTCTTTGTCGTTGTTTTGTTTTTTTTCCTGTCCCTGCAGGTAAATTTTATTCTTTTTATCAATATTATCAGAGTCCTCGCCACCAAACTACGGGAGACAAACGCAGGGAGGTGCGACTCGAGACAACAGTACAGGTGGGTCACGTGGCCTCTCCGCTTTTTGGGAGAGGACAACGCCCTGGTTTCACCCCCTTGGCTCAGAGGAACCCAGGGTGAGCAGCTCAGGGTGTCTGCAGCCATCCCAAACAGGAGGATGTTGTCACCCAGCTCTGGTGCTGCAGAACGAATCAACAGTTCAAACACCCCTCAGCCTCTCCAGCCCAACCTGGGGGACCTGCCTCGTGGGTTAGAGGGGAATTCAAGCTCTTCAGCCCGTCCAGAAGTGCCTGTGCTGCTCTTGAGCCCAGAGTGCAGCAGTAAAAGCCTCGTTTTTGTCATTGCAGCCCCTCAAATCTGTATCCATTTCCTCATCTCTATTTATTTCCCTCCTGTGCTTTGTGAAATCTGGGCTGTTTGTTCAGTCTGCCCTTCAGTGGGTGTTTGGTGCCTCTGCTGAAATGACAAACAGGTTCCTGCCCCCTTTGCTGGCGTCTCCCTGTTTGTTGTGTTGTGTTTTCCTTTGTTCTGCCAGCTCTTCCCTCCCGATAATTCGGGTTATTCGCGGCGTGGCCAAAACCAGATGGAACAAACAGATGGCTGAGACACCTCTCGGTGCTGGAGAGCTCCCAGGGCTTCTCAGAACATCCAGGGCTGACCAGCCTGACACCTGGAAAGGGGGCAGAGCAGAGTGACAGGGCTGCAAACCATGAGCTCGTGTCCACTGTCCCCCCCTGCAAACAAACACCCCCCCTGTTTTATGGAGCCAGGAGGGACATTTGGCAGCAAAACACCTCCTCATTTATTTATTTATTTATTTCTGTCCTGTCAGGGCTCTGATTTATCTGTTTATTTGCTTCTCCCTGGCTGAAAGTTGCAGTTAATTACGGTTTGGATGGGGTTTTCTCCTCTGGAAGGGTTCAGCTCCCTCAGTGCTCTGCAGTTCCTGGACAGAGGCCCTGCCAGCCCCTCCTGGGGATGATGTTTGCCCCTGTCAAGAACTGCTGCTCCTGGTGACTTGCTGCAACCCTTGGCAGAGGGTTTAATCCTTCAATTGATGGCAGTGATTCCCCGAGGAGCAAACCCAGCCAAGTGCTGGGGTTGTGTGGAACCTCCCCCCAGGCCCCAGCACGTGCTGAGATTCAGCTGCTGCTTCTTTAGCAGGAGCTTTTCCAAGCAATCTTGCAGCCCAAAGCACCCCCTGAGGGTGTCCACCTCCCAACCCCACAGGGCACTGTGCTCTTCCCTCTGATGGCTGCAGTAATTCTGCTCCCAGATGCACTTCCCCCTCCTCTAACCCAGGGGGGATGTTCATGGAGTGCCTCAACAAGCAGGAAAATCAGAGTGGCTGAGGTTGGAGGTGCCCTCTGGAGATCACCCAGCCCAACCCCCCTGCTCAACCCACTGCAGGTTGTGTAGGGCCATGTCCAGGTGTAAAATGAAGGAGAACATCCTTTATGGACAGGGATTGGATGCCAGTCAGGGGATGAGGGTGAAGAAGAACATCCTTTATGGACAGGGATTGGATGCCAGTCAGGGGGTGAAGGAGAACATCCTTTATGGATAGGGATTTAATGCCAATCAGGGGATGAGGGTGAAGAAGAACATCCTTTATGGACAAGGATTGGATGCCAATCAGGGGATGAGGGTGAAGGAGAACATCCTTTATGGATAGGGATTGGATGCCAGTCAGGGGCTGAGGGTGAAGGAGAACATCCTTTATGGATAGGGATTGGATGCCAGTCAGGGGCTGAGGGTGAAGGAGAACATCCTTTATGGACAGGGATTGGATGCCAGTCAGGGGATGAGGTGAACATCCTTTATGGGCAGGGTTGGATGCCAGTCAGGGGGTGAAGGAGAACATCCTTTATGGATAGGGATTTAATGCCAATCAGGGGATGAGGGTGAAGGAGAACATCCTTTATGGGCAGGGTTGGATGCCAGTCAGGGGCTGGGGGCTGGCACAGCAGCCCACATTCCTTTCCAGCCACCCTCCCACCCTCCACCCATGATCCTGAGCCAAACCTGGAGACAGTTTGAGGCTGGAAAAGACACTCCTGTGCCTTCACCTCCAGCAGCATCCCCTGGGCGAGGGCTGAAGTAGCACATCAGGGCTATCTCAAATACATGTTGAATTTCCAGGTGGCCCCAATTCCTGTGGGAACAGGAGCTGTCCAATCCTAACCAGGGGGTCACATTCACCCCTCCACTAATTCCCTCTCTTTCCCTGTCCCCACAGGAAGCTGCTGAAATCTACCCTCGTCCTTATGCCTCTGTTTGGAGTTCACTATATTGTTTTCATGGCTATGCCATACACAGACGTGTCAGGGATTCTTTGGCAAGTTCAAATGCACTATGAAATGCTGTTCAACTCTTTCCAGGTACTGGCACTGGGGAATTAGGGGGGGATTTCAGTGGGGAGAAGGGGGAAATGGGAGTGCAAGTTTGACTCTGAAGGCAGGGCTGGCTTTACAATACGCCAGGTTTCACTCCCGAGGTGATCTGACAGTATTTTGATGCATATAATTTTATAATATAAATATTATAATAATCTTTATAATATAAATATTGGGAAATTATTGGAAAACATTGGAAAATATTTTCTCTTTTCAAAGCATGATATTTATGCTATTTGTATTTATGAAGGCTCAGCGTGTCCAACCACAAAACTGGTCCTGTTGGAAGGTAACTTTGGCCCACAAAATAACCCCCTTTAGACCCAGATGAGACAGGAGCTGGTGGAGATCCACAGAGATGTTGTTTCAAATCACCTCCCAGATTTCTTGTCCCGGGTTGTCTTTCAGTGCTGAGGGGATTCCTCAGTCCCAGCTCTGGGAAAAGGGAGGTTTTAGTTCTAGGAATGGTCCTCCTGTGCCATTGCTGGGCCATCCCCTGCAGCCCCTGAGGGACATTGGGGAGGTTCCCTCTCAGTGCCTGCTCTGGAGGCTGAACAGCCCCAGCTCCCTCAGCCTGTCCTGGGCACAGAGATCCCTTCAGCACCTCCACAGGACAATCATCTGCCAGGAGCTCCACGTGCTCCTGTGCTGAGGAGCCCTAAGTGGACACACAGCACCCAGATGTGCCTCCCCAGGGCTGAGCAGAGGGGCAGGATCCCCTCCCTGCCCTGCTGGGAACGCTGCTTGTTGCCCACCAGGACCCCCAGGTCTGCTGTGCCAGTTTTATGCAGAAGATGACGAGTGTCACTGGTTCCAGAGGAACCTGGGGGTGCAAAGAGCAGAAAAGAGAAGCTCCCCTGCAGCCAAATGCCCATTAACACGTTGTCTTTTCTTCCTTGCAGGGATTTTTTGTTGCCATCATATACTGTTTTTGCAATGGAGAGGTGAGTCACCAACTCCCTCAGGATTCCCCTCCCTTTTTAGGATCAGTTCCACACACAGCTGGAGGAACAGCAGCACCCCCTCACTCTTTAGAGTGCCCCAGCCCTGCTTTGCACTCCAAGCTCTGTCAGTCCCCATTTCTGTTGACCTGAGACACCCAGGTCCCCAAAAAATGACCCACTGCAAGTAGCTAATGGAGATAAAAATGGGAGGGTTATCATTTCCCAGCCCAAGGGCTGTTTAGTGCTGCTTAAGTTCAGATCTGTGGCAGGATCTGTGGGTTGATGGAGTAGCTGCCTGACCAGAAAACTCATTGCATTGTCCAGGGCCTTTTGATGCCTTTTTTTTTTTTTCCATAGTAATATCCTTTGATTTCTTCATTTCCATTAATTAATTCCCTCAGTTGCTGCAAATTAAGGAACTAGGTGGTCAGTGGGTGCACACTGGGAAAGGACTTTCATGGACTGGCATAAAGCTGCTTTGACCTAAATTGGGGGATTTTAAGGGGGAAATGTAACTTCAAATGTGAAGATTAAAACCAGGCAAAATCTGTGCCATAAGGGGAGCTCATCCCATCCCAGCTTCAGCCATCTGGTTTAGATTCAACCTAAAGCAGTCTCAGTCTAAAGAAATAGCTTAAGTCTAAAACAGTGAACTCCTTTCTAGGGGAATTTCTGGGGACTCAGGTGCCTCTGGAGGTGCTTCATCCCACTTGATTACTTGATTATGAAAGGATTCTCCCCTGGGTTTGCTCTTGGACAGAGTTCACCCACATTTTCAGCCACTCAAGCTTCCCAGTGCCAAATATTCCACGTGGGAAGGGGAGACTTAACGTGACTCTGCTGTTCCTTCCCATTCCATAGAATCACTGAATCTCCTGAGTTGGAAGGGACCCACAGGGATCATCAAAGCCCAACTTCCCCCCACAGTTTCCCACCCTCTCTGTCTGTGGATCCCCCCCACTCACGCTTTTTTCCCCTCCCTTCCTCTCCCAGGTCCAAGCAGAAATAAAGAAGTCATGGAGCAGGTGGACTTTAGCCCTTGACTTCAAAAGGAAAGCACGGAGTGGGAGCACAACCTACAGCTATGGACCAATGGTGTCCCACACCAGCATCACAAACGTAGCCACCAGAGGAGCGCTCGCCCTCCATCTCAACACCAGGCTCATCCCGGGGACCCTCAACGGGCACCGCAATCTGCCGGGGTACGTGAAGAACGGCTCCATTTCCGAGAATTCCATGCCCTCCTCGGGGCCGGAGCAGTACAACAAGGACGAGGAATATCTCAACGGCTCCGGGCTCTACGATGGGGACAGACCCACGGTGCTGGTGGAAGAGGAGAGGGAGACGGTGATGTAGAGGAAGGAGGGGGAAACCAACCCAAAAGAAGCAGAAGGATGAGAAAGGTTCCTGGCGAGCATTTGGCGGGTGGAAGAACCATCAGGCCACGCGCGTGGAACGCCGAGGGTTTCCGTGGAGTTTCCCTGCTCTGTGGAGCCAGAGGTTGAGTTATACGGGAAAAACGAGCGGGCCAGCAAGGTTGGCCGGTTGTGGATCCCACCCACGGACTCGGTGATCCACGTCTTCCTGGCGTTCCCAGGGCAGGGCTCTCCACACCCTGCTGGACCACAGAGACGCTGGGAGCTCTCCAGGGAGGGCTGGGGAGCACCACGAGGGTCCCTGGAGCTCCTGGAGAGCGTGGGCAGCCGAGGGGGACGGGAGCCCTGGGGCACTTGGCCTGCTGGGTCCAACCTGTCGTCCTTCCCTCGGGAATCTCCTCGGCAAAAAGTGCTCCTCTGGGCTGGGGAGGGGGTCACAGCCCGTGGCTGCAGGAGACAGGCAGAAAACTCTCCTTCCTCTCCCCGAGTCCCGGCAGCAAGGCAGGAACCAGCGGGAATTCAGGATGGAAAATGTGGTTCTCAGAATATGCAACGTTTCTGTTCTTCCAGGTGCAGCAGAGATGGAGAGGGGCTTTCCAAGGGCAGGGAATTCACAGATCTTGGAGGGGGTGGGGTGGATAAAATCAGATCAGAGGGGACCTAACTCAGCCCTCCCTTTTTGGGGAGGCTCATGGGAAGAAGCTTCATTTCATTTTTAAACCTCTAAATTGTTCTTCATTCTGTTCTCTGAAAATCCTGATCCATTGAATCATAAAATCCCAGGATGCTTTGGGTTGGAAGGGATATTAAAGATCATCCAGTGCCACCCCCTGCCATGGGCAGGGACACCTCCCACTAGCCCAGGTTGCTCCAGCCTGGCCTGGAACACTTCCAGGGATGAGGCAGCCACAACTGCTCTGGACAAGGGGTCCAAACCCTGGTGAGGAGAAAAACTCCATCAGCCTTGTGCCTGTGTCCCCCAGAAGCACAGACTGTGGGATACAGCCAGACAAACCCACCCTCAGGAGATCCAAAGGCCAAATTTGATGGATAAAAGCACAGGGATTGCTCCTGGATGCTTTTGCAGAGTGTCCCCAGAGGCTGCTCTCTGACTTGTGCTGGGGCTGATCCTCCAGGGAAGGGTCTCTGCCTGTTCCCAGCAGTGACACAGAATTGGTCAGGAGTCAGGAGTCAGGAACAGCCACCAAAATTCCTACTGCAGCAGGTTCTGCTGAGCCAAACTGGACCCTCTCTCCAGCCTCTGTCCTACCATCACGAGTCCTTTGCTCCAGTCCAAGACTCAGCTCCTCAGGGCCCTTTCTGTCCTTATTTCTTCCTTTCCTTCTTGGCAGGTTCCTGGTGACTGAAGCATTTTGACCACTTTCACTCAAATGCAACAGGAATGAGGTCTTGGGGAAGTTTGGGAAGTCCTTTAGGATGCAGGTGAGGTAAAATGGGAGAGCCTGCTCTCTGTTCTGATCCTGTGATGTCACTGCTCAGTCACATCAACCAGAACTTCTGAGGTGCATCTAGTCCATGCAATCAGCTGGTCCTGAGAGGGAAAGTAAGGGCTAAATTCCCCCAGACTCTGCAGGCAGTCAGGAAGAGAAGCTGGGACCTTGATCTGTGTCCCACAGCTCCTTTAACAACCTCCCAGCCTGGGCCTGACCCAAGCCCAGGGAAGACACACATGGGTAGCTCATGAATCCTGGAATCACGGAATCATTGGGGCTGGAAAAGCCCTCCAAGGTCACAGAGTCCCCCCTGTGCCCATCCCCACCTTGTCCCCAGCCCAGAGCACTGAGTGCCACATCCAGGCCTGCCTGGGACACCTCCAGGGCTGGGCACTCCAAACCTCCCTGGGCAGCCCCTGCCAGTGCCTGACCACCCTTTCCAGGGAGAAATTCCTGCTGATGTCCCACCTGCCCCTCCCCTGGCACAGCCTGAGGCTGTTCCCTCTTGTCCTGTAAGAGAGCTCTTTAAAGCCAGGATTTATCTGTGACATTCTTGTCCTGTTCCCATCATTAAAAGAAGTCAAATCTCCTCACAACCCTTTCCCACCAAATGGCAGCTACTGAAATGTAAATGTTCGAAGATTGATCTCTTTTCATGCTCTCTCCTTCTGCCCCTCCTGATTTGCTCACTCAAAACAATGTCTTGGTTATCCTTTCACCGCTGGAACAGAGAAAACACACCAAAAAACCTCCAAGCAGTGACTCAGTGTTTGCTTGTGTTTGTGACTGAGAACTCAGGATCAACAACGTGTTTGACAATCACTCAGCAAAGCTCAAGGAATCAGCAAAAGCCATGAAATTATTTATAAACAAATACAACACCCTCAGCAAACACAGCCCTCACTGACATCCAGAGTTTGGCACTGGATTATTTAGAATAAATGTCTAAAACCTCTTGTTAGACACAGATAAATTTACACAGGCACAGAGGATTTACAGAGGAAGAAATATTTTTTTTTAAGCCTTTTTTAATTGCAAATTGTGAATAATAGATTTTTTTTTTTTTTTTGGAGGGGGGAGCATGTGAATGAACAGTATTCCTGCAAAAATTGAGGGAATGCTGATACCAAACCAGGGGGAAAAGTGACATCCAGGCACGACAGAATATCTTTGTCAAAACCTGTTCCTGCCATTCCTGGGCTGATCCCAAACTCCTGATTTGAGTGTTTGCATCAGGATCTGTCAACCAGAGATCCAAGGTGGTCCTTGCCTGATTTTAGTGAGGAAGGATCAGACCTGTGGCATCTCAAAACAGAGAATAAACCCCGATTCATGGCTGGGATTTGCTCTGGAAGGACAAGCAGAGGCCAAAGCCTTTGGATCCAGAGCATCCCCTTGACCACAACCTGCTTTTCCTCCCGAGTCCCTTCCCCTTCATCTCCCTCTTTCCCAGATGGGCACAGAGCTCTTAAATCCTCTTCAGCCTTTTTATTTCCTCAGGATGACTTTTTGGCAGCAGTTTTGCCCTCTCTGCTTTGCAGACAAATGTTTTGATCCCTCCTCTCCACTGCTTGGTCCTGGTTCAGATGAGATCACGTCTTGTCCTGTTCCCCACCGTTCCTCAGCTCTGCTGCCTCTTGTCTGATAAGTTTTGGAGCCAAGAGTTCACAAAGATCTCCCAAAATCCAATTCTTCAGCCAGGGATTGGCTTTGTTTATCTGTTTATGGGCAATCAGCTGAAGGTCACGGGACATCGACGGTGCTGGGCAGAATTTCCCACTTTTTAAACTATAAAAACACACGAAGAGGGAACATCTCCAAGTTTTTATCCCTGTTTATCATCTTGTCAAACTCAATATCTGGATTAAAGCTTTTAACTTCAGGTTCTGATGGATCAAAAAGTCGAAGAAACCTCATTTATAGGTTGAGTTCTATTTTTCTTTTCCCCCTGAACTCAAAGACCTGGAGTCAGTTTGACCTGCAGAGTTCACACAACCTTCACTTTCTCTGATTCCCCATGAAACATTCCTGTGCCATTCCATAACCTCACCTGCCCATGGAAATCAGCTGAGGGTTGGGCAGGGCCCAGGAGCAAGAGGAGGAGTTGTGGAGGAGCTGACCCAGCTGATCAGGAGTAATTGGGGAACCTTATAAACCTGGCTTCTTTTCAGGCAGATAAATCATTGCCTAATTAGGATTTCTCCTGATTGGGGAAGTCTTGGGACAGCAAAGGGGAGGGCGTGACAGTGTCAGTACAACTTTCTCTTCCCCTTCACCCCCACTGGCACTTTTCCCTTTCATCTCACCTGTAAAAGTGGTAAAATAGAACAAACTCAGCTTGAGAACCCGGAATGTTGCATCCATTTGGGATGAAATCCTGACCCCAGGAAAATCAACCCCCCAGTAAATGTCTGTGGATATCCATGGAGTGGGTTTCACCCATAAATTCTGCAGAGGAAAAAGGCCAATGATTTAAAGAAATTACCTCCCCCCTTCCCAAAACCTCACTGGGATTTCAGGGTGGCTTTTTCCTTTGGATCAAGAGCACGGCAGGAAATCCCCAAAGCAGAAATCCAGAGGTGGGAGATGGGTCTGAGGGGCAGTTTCCTCTCCTGAAATGCTCCAGCATCATTTTGTACTGGGAGCAGCTTCTGCCTGTGGGGATTTAGGATGTGGTAGACACTTGGCCAGAAAAAGGCCCGAGATTAAAATGTTTGGGATGGGTGGGATCAGTGTTTCCAAAATGCCTGGGGTCACATCCACTGAAACAGAGCTGCAAGATCCACTGCAAGGGGCTGAAATGAAGGGTGTGCTCCAGGCAGGCAGCCCTCAGGTGCCCCAAACAGGAGACAAAGCAATGAGCTCACCAGAGAAGCAGCATCTGCTTAAACCAGAGCTTTCCAACAGGCACAGGCCCTGCTAAATCCAGACCTTTCCAGCCAGGCCAAGCTTTACCTTTTCCTTTTTTTCCTCTGTCTGAATTAAATGATTCTTCCTTGAGAGCTGCAGGGAAGGAGGAATTACAGAATCATGGGATGGTTTGGGGTGGGAAGGGACCTTAAAGCCCATCCAGTCCCAGCTTCTTCCACGGGCAGGGACACCTTCCACAGAGCAGGTGGCTCCAGCCCTGTCCCTGAACGAGAATCCATTGGCTGTGGAATATTTTGAAGGACAGGTTGTAGGAGGTGGAGCTGGGGGGAGAGGGAAGAGGACAGGCACAGCCAAAGCCATCCCCAATCCCATCCCCAATCCCATGCCCGTGTTCCAAAGTGCTTTGTCGACCTCTTCCCATGTGGGTGAGCTGGGGGTGGGGGGAGACTGAAGAGACAAACCTGCTGCTAAACCCCATCCCTTCATCTCAGCAGCTTCAGGGGGGCCCAGCCCTGGTGGGCACCGGAATTGGTGGGATCTGAGTGTTGGGAAAAGGCCTCAGCCATCGCCAGGGATTATTTTCAAGGTGTTGGCTCTGGGAGAGGAGCCGGGGGGTGTTTGTGCCCCTCTGTCACAACGTGGGTTTTCAGACCTTGTGCCACTTCAGGGGAGGGACAAAGCCCCCAGATGAGAGGCTGAAATTGGGATTTTTCTCCCCACGTGTCCCAGGCCTTGCCCTGTGTGTGTCAACATTTCCATCCCCCCCTCAGCTTTCCGTCGGGACCAAAGGAGCGGGCGGGCCACGGCAAAGCACAGGTGTGTGTGTGTGTCAAAGGGAATTCCAATAAAAACCCACCTTGACTGATCCTCGGGGAATCTTCTCCCGTGTCCTTTCCTGTCCGTGCCACTCAGAGCCTCAAAAATCCAGCGGGGCCGCTCTTGGAGGGAGGCGAGTTGGGAATTCCTCTGGGTTTGGGAGGGAAGGAGCTCCATCAGCTCCTGCAGTTCACTGAGGAGGCAGAAAGATGGGATTGAGCTGGAAACCCTTTGGGAAGATCTCACACTGGGTGGCTTAAAAACCTGCCTAAGCTGGTGCTTTTTCAGGAGCATCAGGAACAAACCTGGGCAGCTCCAATCCAGCCTTCCTGTTGGGAAGCAGCTTGTGGAGATGTTTTAATTCCACTGCTGACATCCTTATCCTTAATCTTGGTTTGGCTCCAACAGCTTCTGACTCAGGGAATCCTGGAATGAGTTGGATTGGAAGGGACATTAAGGATCATCCAGTGCCATCCCCTGCCATGGGCAGGGACACCTTCCACTATCCCAGGTTGCTCCAGCCTGGCCTTGGACACTTCCAGGGATCCAGAGGCAGCCACAGCTTCTCTGGGAAATCCATTCCAGGGCCTCCTCACCATCACAGCCAGGAATTCCTTCCCAGTATCCAATATAAATCTACCCTCCTTCATCTTAAAGCCATTCCCTGTGTCCTGTCCCTCCAGGCCTTGTCCCCAGTCCCTCTCCAGCTCTCCTGGAGCCCCTTCAGGCCCTGGGAGGGGCTCTCAGGTCTCCCTGGATCCTTCTCTTCTCCAGGTGTTTAGTGGTGAACTCTGGAGCCATTTCACTGTGGAGTGGCCAAAAGAGAGGGGAAGGGCTCCAACAGGAGGAGGGAATTCCAAAGAGCTCCTGGAAGCCCTGAGCAGTCTGAGCAGTGGGATGACACTGTGGAAAGGTCTCCCCCAGCGATGTTTCACTGGGATTACGTTTCATCCACCCCAGCTCCTCTCCCAGCTGTGGCTGCCCCAGCCCTGGAGGTGTCCAAGGCCAGGGTGGAGCAACCTGGGATAGAGGGAGGTGTCTCTGCCCATGACAGGGGGTGGAATGGGATGGTCCTTAAGGTTCCTTCCAACCCAAGCCATTCTGTGATCCAGATTGACCATAAAAACCTGGATTTCTCCCCCCTGAGAAGCAGAATTCACAGTATTCTGGGTTTTCCTTCGCTCCTGGCTTTTCCAAAGGGATGGTCCTTCTGGTTCTGGTTCCCTGCAGAGAAACACAGGGACTGTCGTGAATCTGGAAGCACAGAAGGGAAATCTGGGAAAAGCAGCAGTGGATTGGGAGAACACAGAGTTGCTGAACCTCTCAGAGAATCTCTGAGTCACTGGAGGTGACCACGGTGTGTTCATTCCCTCAGGAGCTCGTTCAGAGCTGCCTAAAATTGGCCAGGTTGTCTGTGCCCCTGGAAATTTCCTGGAATCCACAATCCAGAGTTTATAAAAGGGGATCAACCATCCAGAGTCATGTCCATAAAATGGGATCAACCATCCAGAGTCATGTCCATAAAATGGGATCAACCATCCAGAGTCCATAAAATGGGATCAGTGACCCAGAAAAATGTTTCTAAAGCAGGATCAACAATCTAGAGTCTATAAAATGGGATCAACAATCCAGAGTCACATCTATTAAATGGGATCAATGATCCAGAGTCTATAAAATGGGATCAGCAATCCAGACGTGTTTATAAAACAGGATCAACAATCCAGACTCTATAAAATGGAATCAACAATTCAGTCTCATCTACAAAACAGGATCAATGATCCAGAGTCTATAAAATGGGATCAACAATCCAGAGTCATGTCCACAAAATAGGATTAACAATCCAGACATGTTTATAAAACAGAATCATCAATCCAGAGTCTATAAAATGGGACCAAAAATCCAGTGTCACATCCATAAAACTAGGAACAACAATGCAGAGTCTATAAAATGAGATCAGTGATCCAGAGTCCATAAAATGGGATCAGCCATCCAGAGTCACACCTGTAAAACACCATCTCCTGTTTTGCTTTTGGGAAGGAAAAGCTCCCCATTACCTTTGACTCCAGGGCTGGAAATGTCCCTTTGGCTGTTGTTGGTGTTCAGGGGGGCCATATTTTGGGATTAAATCATCCCTTGACTCTCTTGGAAGTTTTAAGGAGGATGGAGGAACGTCACACCCAGAACAAGGCTGGGTGACTTCAAGCAAAAGCTGCTCCATCGATTTTTCCAGGCCATCCAGAGGCCATCACCCCCCCAACCATGCTTATTGTCATTTTTAGCCCTGATGCTTCACAGAGGGAACTGCAGAGAGAAAGGAGAGCCTCTGGAAAATCCAATGTGTGACATTCCCAGCTGGTTATTGTGCCAGGCAGGCAGTCCCATTGGATTCACAAGCCTCAGATCAAGAGAACCAGGGAACATGAGGAAAACAGTGATTTACCCTCAGATTGGGTGAGATTGGAGGGTCTCATTCACTGGGAATGTCAATTGGAGTGGAGATTCCACGCCCTCCAGGTTGTTTCATTTTCTGACCATTCTCACTGGAATGTAATTTATTTTTCTGGTGTTTGATGAGAAATTCCCAATCACTCAAATCATTGCTCCTCATCCTTCTGCTCTCCTTTGGTTTCCAGCCTTTCCCCTTCCTTTTGACAGGCCTCTGTGAAGAGGAGCCATTGCCTGCTGAGAGCAGAGGCTTCAGAGCACCAAATCCACTTTGGGAAATGATGAGAGGACTCTCAGAGAGAGGGCTGAAAATGCTCTGATTGTCGTGCTTCTTAATTCTGATCGTTAGGATTGATTATTGGTGGATAATCCCCTTTTCCTGTGTCCCAGGGAAGATGGAACAGAGCTCAGAAACACCATCCCTCCTCTCCACATCGCCCTGGAGAGGCTGAGGAAAGAGTCTGCTTTGCTGACAAGTGTTCCCACCCCGAATTTCTGTTCACTCAGCACTCAGATGAGCAGGGGGAGCTGCCCCCTCTCCACGTTTTTGGTGCAAACCCCCCTGGATGAAAAACCTCCCTGCCTCTAAATCAGAGCAATTCTGGGGAGAGAACCCAGCTCCAGAACCGACTCCCAGATTTTAATAAGGCTTGATTCCCTCCCAGAAGATTTATTGTCCTCCAGGCCAAGGCACCAGAGCTCTGGGCTGACTCTGAGCCTGGAAGGACGGTGATTACATGAGGTCAGAGCTGCAGATTTAATTAGCCCACCTTGCTCTAAACCCCACAAATCCATAAGAGGCTATTTGGGGATTCTTATTATAGAGACATAACCCTGGGTGGTTTTTGGTTTATTCTCTGCCCAGACAACTCTTTTACAAGAGGTGATAAATTACCAGCCATCATTATCTTTGGATAATTCTGATAACTCCAATGTCCCCAGGAAAACCCTCTGCAAGCAACTCCTGGGAAATGCTCTGGGAGAGTAGAACAGGTTAAGGACTCAGCAGGAACCTTAATGACATCTCAGCTCATCACAGCCAGGAATAACACTCCCGTTTTTCCCCACAGGGGACAAAAATTCTAATTCTCTTCCATTATAAAATATATCTTGGCCCCAAAAAAAAAAAATGGAGAGAGAAGTCAGATTAACTACAGGACTCTGAGCAGAGCTGGGGAGTTTGCAGAGAAAGAACAGAGGAAAATATTCCGAGCAAACGAAGAGCCAATTAAGGGCTAATTTGTTTGTATCATTTAAGGAGCCCCGCTGAGCCCCTGGGGGAAAACATTCCAAGGGAAGCCAGGGACGAGTTCTCAGAGATGCAAAGAGATCCCCTCGCCTTTGTTTAAACCTCCTGCATTTTGCATCACCCGCAGGAGGACGGACCGCAGGTTCCTGTCCCGAATTTCACCTTCCCCGACACCACTTCCTCAGCAGGAGGGAACGGGAAGGAGCTTTGTCTACTGAGGATGCTCAGACTGCCCCTAAAATCCCGGGATTCAGCCTGGGCTTGAGTTTCCCCTGCAGACAGAGCCAGACAGGGGGGTGTTATCCCCCCTTCCCCCCAACCAGAGGCTCCCAGGTAAATCTGCCATTCCCTCTCCATCACGTCTCTATTGGTATATCATAAATATCAATATTTTTATATCCATTCTGATTAGCATATCACATTTAGCCATGCTTTCATATCAGCTCCCACACAGCCCTTCTGCCTCAGCCCATCTGTTCCCCGCTGGTTGCTCTGCACAGCATGAAAATGCTATTTTTTAGTGGAATAATTGTGCTGGTTTTTTCCTGTCCTGAAGGCCCAGCAGGGTCAGGATCCCTCCTGTCCTGCACTGGACACCTGAATGAACCCAGAGAGGCAAGACACCCCATGTCCCAGGAATGCTGAGCTCCCACAGCCCTGGGTGACAACAGAGCACCTGCACTGGGGACAATACAGGGATTTAAATTAGGAATGTGATTATTACAACCACCAGCCTCTCAGTTTTCCCCTGAGAAACCCCTACAACAAGAGCTTTGGGCTCTTTGCAAGTATATACATTGCCTTTCCTTTTTCCTTTTTGCTTTCTATTCCGTTATCCTTTCTATTCCACTTTCCTTTCCTTTCTATTCCATTTTTCTTTCTATTCCATTTTCCTTTCCTTTCTATTCCATTTTCCTTTCCATTCCATTTTCCTTTCCCCTTTCCTTTCCCCTTTCCTTTCCCCTTTCCTTTCCCCTTTCCTTTCCCCTTTCCTTTCCCCTTTCCTTTCCTTTCCTTTCCTTTCCTTTCCTTCCCCCTTTCCTTTCCCCTTTCCTTTCCCTTTCCTTCCTTTCCTCCTTTCCTTTCCCCTTTCCTTTCCTTCCTTTCCTTTCCTTCCTTTCCTCTTCCCTTTCCTTTCCCCTTTCCCTTTCCTCCCCTTTCCTTTCCCCTTTCCTTTCCCCTTTCCTTTCCTTTCCTTTCCTTTCCTTTCCTTTCCTTTCCTTTCCTTTCCTTTCCTTTCCTTTCCTTCCCTTCCCTCTCTCCCTTTCCCCTCTCCCAGCCTTTTCCATGGTGACAAGTTCCACAAGGCCCCACAGTCCCGTTCCCTCATTTCATCTGCAGCCTAAGTGGACCCAGA